GGAGCGACGATCCCGATAGTAAAAAGAATAAGGGTCCTTGGCATGATAATCGAGGCAAATGGAGCTAACGGCGAAACGATCGCTAAACTGAAGCACAAGACTACAAACGCCATGAGAATTCTCAAGAGGGTCACTAGCGGAATTAGAGAGGATAGTCTCATACGACTTACACACTCTTTCGTCATGTGTCATATTACATACATTGCGGCATTTCACAACTGGTACAAGGCAGAAGAAGCCAAGATCAACGTCCTTATCCGCAGAGTGTACAAGGTGGCACTGGGTCTACCCAAGTCCACCAGCCCGCACCTGCTGCTTCAACTTGGACTTCACAACACGTTGAGCGAAATAGCCTAGGCGCAGCGCACTTCACAACTGGAAAGACCACCAGGCACGACAGCGGGACGCCAGATCATGGAAAGTCTCGGCATCCGTTACTGCACCGAACAAAGCCAGAAAGTCGCTGTGCCAGGCGCGATCCGACAAACGATAAGGGTTGAGCCAATTCCACGCAACGTTAACCCGGAACACATCCCGGGCAGAAGAGTGGCCAGGGCAAGAGCTCTCTTGCGCATTTACGCCGACGAAATGGGAACTCGGTTCGTTGACGCCGCTCAATACACAGACCACTCGCAATTTGCAGTTATGGTCGTCGATTGGAAAGGCGAAACGAGAATATCGGCAACTATTCGTTGTGACTACGCACAAGAAGCAGAGGAAGTAGTGGTGGCGCTCGCGCTCACGGATCCGTCATGCACTATTGTCCTTTGTGATTCGAGACAAGCAGTAAGGAACTTCGCCAAAGAATGGATCTCGCAACGAGCGGCCAAAGTCCTGCGCAATAGAAAATTTTATCAAAAGACAGAGCTTCAAACCAGACTCCTGTGGTTCCCGGCTCACATGGGAGAGGTATCGGAGACACACCGCAACCTAAACGAGACGGCACAAGCCAAGGCGCGCGAGCTCGTGAACCACGCCGACGACCATCCTCTATGGGGAAACACCAAAGACCGTTTGATGACTTATAATGAAATTACCAAGGCTTTCCACCTGGCCCACCGAACCTTTCCTCCACCCAGCGAGAAGCTGAACAGGATGCAGGTGGTGTGTCTACGACAGCTGCAGACGCACACGTATCCCAATCCATCGCTGTTTAACAGACTATACCCCAATATATATCCGACGAATATATGCAAGATATGCCATAGTGAGGTTGCCACATTAAATCCCATGCTCTGGGACTACGCTAGAAATACGCAAGGTGCTAAATTCGGAACCCTTCCGCCGCGTTTGGCCGCTGCCCTGTGGAGCCCTTGCCTCGGTAACCAACTCTGGGCCGTCCAGCAGGCCCGCGAGGCGGCAGTCAGGCAAGGTCTTGACGTCCCCACGCGGGAGACCTAAGGTCCGGTCGGCGAAAGCTCTGCCGGACTTCCAATAAAGTTCTTACCAACCAACCAATGCCGATGAACTGCGTCGTGGTTGGATGCGAGTCACGTCTCAAAACTTAGTTTTGTTTGTTGGCGCAAATCGCAGCCCTCAGCGCTTATGGCTTTCACAACGTTTGTGGAGTCTCACAACATCGTTTTGTTGGCACACATCGCAGCCCTCAGCGATTATGGCGGAAGTTACGTGCGGACGTCGCTATAACTTTAACCCTAATGTCGACATCAGGCTACCTGTGTTCACAAACATGGAATGCGTCTATAGGGAGGCAGTGCAGGTGGTTTACGCTAAGCAGCGTTCGCACGCGGATTCTAAAACCGGGGCACGCATCACCTGGTGCGGCGTGCTCCACCGAAATCACACCACGGCAAAGAACGACGCAGGTAGGCCACAGGCAGCGAAACTCTATGACGCAGCTGCGCCACGCACACTCCATGCGTCAATCTAGTGGTGCCATCTTTTGGCAGATTCGGAGCACTTCTTGCAATACTTTCTTCTGCTTCATGCGGAGCAAGTCTCTTCCACTGGCAGATTGGAAGTGCTCCCGGTACGCTCTATTGACAGATCTGGGGGAGCAGCTTCGTCGCGAGATCCACTCCACGGAGCAACTTTTTCTACTCCGTGCAATCAGGCGGATTCGACCTGGAAGTCGCAAGGTCCCCATGCCTTGAAACAGTTCCAACTTTGGGCACGCTAACGGACGCCGGTCGTGTCAGTTGCGCCTCGCGTCGGGCTCACGTTTTGCTTGCGTAGCGTCGCTGTGCCCAGCGTGCCCACGCATTCAACAAGAACGACGCGTGCATCACAATAAAAAAAATATCAGGTCCTGCCATTCGCTTTACAGGGAGCACGTGCATGTGTTTCATTGGGAGATTCCTTTCTGTTGCCCTCCGCCAGAATGGAGTGCTCCGGCACAAAATTCATAGGCCTCTCCAAATTTGCCAACCGATGACACCATATCTTAAGCAAAGGGCAGCACTCACCTCGACTGCAGATATATGCGATTTGGCTCTTGGACACTGTCTTGCTGAAGGCCGACATTAAGGCGAAAGAGGGCATCAGGCGCAGAACGGGGAACACGTTCAGCAGAACGAATCTGATGCCCGCCGCGGCCTCAAGCAGTCCGAAGGCGATTGTGCCGCTCTGCATGAAGGCTGCAAAAGAATAGTACCAGTCCTTCGCATCAAAGGAATGCGCTTCGAAATCGCCACTGGGGCTAGTTGTGGGCACAACAGCAATTGTAAATTGCATGCGTACGAGCAGATAACTTGTAGTGTCCGTGTAAAAAAAAGGTCGTTTTGTTTGTCCGGATGACGCACTAGCTTTGTCACCAGCCGACAAGGCAGGAGAATTTTAGGTGCCACTGAATGATTTACCATCTGTAAAGACGGATTAAGCGATAGGAATCATAAACGTGGCCTCACAGGAAAGAACTCTCAAAGAACTGGTTATTAGCTCGCAAGGATGAGCAGCATGGCACCACAATACAAGGGTATCGCGATGGCATATTAAAGATGTTTTTGGTATCTGTATTTGTGGGTCAAGGTACAAAACGTATTTGTATCTAAGTAGTCGACTACTTTCAAGATGTATCTATTATATTGCGATACCGTGCAGGACGCGTATATATCCTGATATTTTCGGGCCCCGCAGCGGTGGTGAAGTGGCTAAGGTACTCGGCTGCTGATCCGCAGGTCGCGGCATCTAATCCTGGCTGCGGCGGCTGCATTTCCGATGGAGGCGAAAATGTTGTAGGCCCGTGTGCTCAGATTTGGGTGCACGTTAAAGAACCCCAGGTGGTCGGAATTTGCGGAGCCCTCCACTACGGCGTCTTTCATAATCATATGATGGGTTTGGGACGTTAAACTCCTCATATCAATCGATCCTCACATTTTTCGTGAAAAATGGGGCTGGCCTATTTACAAGAGGAAAAAAGAGGGGGGGGGTGGTCTTGTGCTGTGCCAAGCAAAGACGCACCGCTGGTCACCTACACAATGGGCAGCGGTGACGTGAACCCCATTACGCATAAAGTGACCCGCGTGGCGAAGTGCCTCGTCTCGTCTTCTCTGGGCAGGTGCTGAATACTTATTATATTTTTTTTTGGACGGCAAGTCATTTCTCTTGTCTTGTGTTGAAGGCGAACCAGCATTCTCAAAATAGCAGCACATTTGAGAAGATGCTCCTGCTTAACTGCAACGACCATCTCCACAGTACAGATCTTGTATACCTAAAATAAATGTATACTTTTATCTAGATTCACAGGTGTTCGTTAGTGTTCCGAGTGCTGTGCTTTGCTTGCAAATATCAATGCAGTGGAACAACAATCATAATATTATCTTCCGCCTAATTAATGTCTTTTCGGGGCATCAGCAAATTAACGAATATTCTAGTATTTGTAATTTTGTATCTGTGTTTCTGTATCCGTTTCTCATCTATTTCTCATCTTTTTGCTGAAGTACTTCCGAAGCATCTTGTTACATGAAGGAGAAATGTATCTCGGTATCTGCGTTTCAAGCTTCAAATGAGTATATCTCGATATCTGTATTCTCGAACGCTTTCAAGAGTATTTATGCCCAGCCCTGTTAGCTCGTCGTTCGCTCTTCTCTGCACCGACACTTCATAACAGACACAAACAAACACCTGCCCCATTTCTACGTAAACCACAACGCACAATTCACTACAGAACAAACTAAGATTTATGCGCTACAGTGACCGTAAAGTACGGTCGAGCATTTTCCGAGACAAAAAGAGCGCGCCAGCGAACTATCCTGGTGACCGGCACGTCAGTGATCGGTAGCACTCATTTCCTTTGAGTAAGTGAGCTAGCAGCTCTATTGTGTGTCCATCGTTGCATTACGATATAATTAGCCCCCTAGTAGTTACGACGTAGTCGACGTACTTGCGAATGCCGCGTAAAGTACTCAACGGCTGGATTTACCCTGACGTCAGCCCGAAATGTGGTGCTTCACTCAGACAATGCGGCATAGCTTGATGCCTGTTTTGAATTACAGCTCCAAAATCGCTCGATGTTGCCATCACTTCGCATCAATTGAAAGGGAAAGTTCCATATGTTTACAGGTATTTTTGATTCTGAATTAGTAAGCCATTCCACGTTACCGGTAAAACTACGTCTCCTAACGTGCACGTCGCTATCAGCGGCGTCCATCACTTCTGAGGAAAAGGTGACCCCCCCCCCCCCCCACCCTCTCTCTTTGAAAAAAAAATTCTGCCTACGCTGCTCTTCGCTATATAGACTATTTTACAGGGGTCTCAGTGCCACCATAATGTGCTGTTAGCGTTTCTGTTTTCCAACTTCAAACAATGAAACAAACAGTGTTACAGTAGATCCGTACTCATGAGAACAGTCGGGTTCATTCATACCATGTTTCATGAACTTATTATTTCACGTCACCATAAGCAATAACAAAAAGAAATTGGCTTAAAAGCCCAAGATGGCGACGCCCATATGTCTTAGGCAAAATAGTCCTCTATACGCCTGCCCTCTCGGCGAGCTCACCTCCGAAGAAACTGGTGAGCAGGACAAGAGCATAGCCGGTGGTCTCAGTGCCCGCAGCCAGGGTCAGCAGGTAAGACATCGGCAGAGCACAGATGCCGTAGCACATGAAAATAAACACAATAGGGCCTGCAAAGAAGTAGAACCGTGCGATCTCAATCACTACAAGGAATCTGGCTCAATGGGAAGTGCAAAACTTGTTCATGTTCCGATAAGATAAAAGTGTTATCTAAAGCCCACTTGTTAAGTGTGGTGTTGGGCCCACAAGCTTAGCTATTGGGGTCACGGCCATTCTTCGAATCGTGACAGACGAATTACCTGATACATGACGTCCTTATCTTTATGTTAGAACTATGACATGTTCATGGAGCTTTGCATTTGTTGGCATAATGATCTTGGAATTTTTTTATTTCAACATATTAAATGTAGAAATTTAAGCCAACAAAAGCCAATCGATGTGAAAAGTTCTGAAGTCGGCTTTGGCTACGGCCTTCAGTACGCCGAGCTTATAGCGTTCACTAGGACTGCAGGGTACGAAAACAAAAGAAAAAACAACCATAAACAATACAGAGGGATGCGCAAACTAACAAATAAGTTATTTTGATCATGAACAGCCGTATGTACGAGAAAAAGGAGAGGGGAATGGAATCAAGTGAGTGCAATTCATAAGTAGTTGTTAGTTTGCGCATCACTCTGTCATGTCAAGATTTTTTTTCTTGCCTTGGTGCACATTTCTAGCATGCATACGTATTAATTATAATTGTTTCTTTTCTTAAGTATGGTATTTTCAAACTTAGTCGTTGATTTTAAGGGTGTTTTGAGCACTCATTTCTAGTCTCGTTTCAGGCCTGTTTTCGCCATTTAATTTTGAACGTGATCCCGCCAATATAAGGTCTACGGCAAGCCCTCAAGTGCGACGCTGTTAAAGAGACACTAAAGAGCAGAACATTTTTTTTGCGTATTAGTAAAGTACAAGTTCACATTCACGAAAACACCACTCTTACCGCGACACAACGCTTTGTGAGGGAGCAAACATGCGAAAAGGAAATCGGGGTGGCGACGCCACCTAGAGATTCCTGCACCAAACACTGTGGTGTAAGAAAATTTGAAGGTTCCTACTGAGCCGTACGTAGCTTACGATCGGTAAAAATGAAATACATTTTCATCTGTGGACGCCACAGCCCCAAAATAAGAAGTTTCAGAAAATTTCATTGAGGCTATGCCACAAGAATACATCTGGAAGTTTTGACGTCGCAAGCGGAGATTCTGGCGCACAGTTTAAAAACAAAATTTCAGCCTTAATTTCCTCCGCCAATGATGAGCTTATGACAGTGAAACATGTGGCATTAGGGTTCTCAGAGTGCAGTTTGTGAATCTAGACCAAGTCATCGTTTCGCTTTGTTTAAGGCCTCGATTGATTCGCCTGATATAAATTTTGATTTAACCGGAGTTACTGACTCGTCATTTCGATGAAGAAGTTGCCAAAGTAGTAGAACATGGCGATGAAGAAGCTGCAGCAGGACAGCAGGTAGACGAAGATGTCGAACAAGAAGTTGGCCAGCCAATAGACGCGGAGAGAGAGGCCCGTGAGCAGCTGTAACTGGCGACAGCCGCTCTTGCGGTCAACGACGGGGAACAGCCCGCACGCGGCGGTCATCATGGCCACCGACATTGCGCCGAATGTGAAGCGCTCCAGCTGCCGCTGAATCACTTCGGGCGAATCCGGGTCGTAGGCTATAGCCTCTTCCAGCTGCTTTTGGGGCCTCACGCGCAGCTTTATGGAGGCCGTGTCGTCACCGACAGTCCAGCGCAGGAGCGACGTGTGCACCAGGTTCAAAGCGATGACGGCGCTGTGGTACAGCTCACCACTGTACCTGTAAACGAGTTTACAGTGGACTGTACATCAACGTGTACTTTTGTGCTGGCTTACACGACCATTATTAGGAAACGTACACCACACATTTTAAAAGAATTTAAACCGTTGGGGGTCTTTATATCACACAATAGTACGAATTTAAAAAAAAATTCAACCGTTGGGGAGTCTCTATATCACACAATAGTAATTTTGAAATTCCTCGCTTGCGTTTCCTTCCGCGTGAGTCAGCGTTCAATACACTGCTGCTGAAAAGCGATATAACAGTGAAAGCGCTACCGCTGTTCGCGTAGAGGTATCGGGTGCGCTGTATTAAGCCACCAAAGGAAAGAAAGACAAATCAACAAAAGATCCGTGAAAGCGTGATTATTGCGTAACAGGAAGCGGCTGCAAACACTGCTTTTAAAGAGTAGGATAAAAAGAGCTAAGGCCAATGAAAGGGGCTGTTGTGGCTCTTCTAAGTTAACATAAGTATTATATTAAGCGAGAAGTGTATGCCCGTATAACCATTGCTCCGAAATATGTGCCCAAGTGCTCTTCAATGCTCTTCAATGACAAACATCAGCTACACCACTTTGACGAAGCATACCACCGTGAACACAAACTGCACGCCAATACGCGAAAAAAAGAGGCATTTCAGGCTTCTTTTAGATGCGAAGCAGCTCTTTGACTGGCTTGTGTAACGCTGTCCCTTCGTACGAGTGATGCCACGCTCCGCTCGCAGTGCGCGCTGACGTCACTCTTTCCCTCGGCTGCAGCGCGCTCGCTCCGCTACCGCGACCGCCGCTCGCTACACCACCGACTCCCCGGTTGACGCGCAATAAACCGGACACGCACCTAACGTACGCGTTTAAGCATATCTGTATGTATCACCTCACTCGCTTCACCATCTGCACCACTTGCAACACTCCAGCGTACATCGAGTGGTAACACTCTTTTGGCTCGTTTCTGTGCGATGGAGAGGACGCCGGAAGAGGACGCTCCTTCGCCGGCTGACACTTCCACCATTCTGAATACGCCTAACCTGACCGTCGTCAGCATTGCGAGGGTTAGCGAAGCCGAGCGTGTTCGGAAATGGCAACGTCGTTTACTGTAATAAACGCCACACAGAGCTTCACTTCATACCGTTCTTCCAGCTTCACGTCTACGGCTGTTTCAACTGGGTCAATGCCGTGCGTACCACTGCGGCATCGCATCCCACCAGGGTTCACTTCGGGGAGATGGTGCAAGTTTTTTTTTGTAATATAACAATAGTATTCCTCCGTCCTGCACGCTTTAGAAAATTATCGCCATAGTACCAAACGAAAAGTCGTTATTAGCGTGACGAAGCCCTCTAGATTAAAGCTATAGAAAGCTCACCGTTTTTGGTAAAGGAGACGCAAATGAAGCAAGGCGCCGTAACAGATTGGAAGAAAGATGCCTCAAGAACCCGTTTATTTTTCAGTGTGGATGAACAAGGACAATTATGGCCGCTGTAATTTAACAGCCAACAAACGCAGCGAATGCTGGTTGTTATAGTATTTCGTTATTTCCAAAGTGGAAAGATGCGTTTTACCAAGCATCGGTGTACCGCAGCTGATTTTTCGGCGTTTTGCTCTCCAAGTGAATAGTAATACATAAAACTAACATCACAAATATTTCAGTAAAACACATTATGAGACAACTGGTTCCTGTAAATCTCACTGCTACGAACAATGACCATCTACTTCACGGCATTCCGTCCGCTCACCGCTATGGGCCTACTCTGTTTGTTCCTGAGGCCAACGTTGTGAACCATAACGTGAAAACACCACATAATCCACAGAGTTTGCCTCACATGACCATTCCACAGTCAAGGCACTGCTTCATACGTACCAGGCGATGGCGAGCCGGCCTTCGTAGTCTTTGGAGACCCCCAGCTGGACGATTCCCTCGCTTGGATCTCGCTGCTTTGTGCCCTTTTTGCCGACGAGGAAGAAGCTTCCGCCCACCGCACACCGCGCGTACTCCTGCATGCTGCGAGCGCCCACTTCTAGGAGATAATCCGTGACGTCTCGCACACGAGTAATCTGGAAGATTGCATTGCGACCGAGTACATATACTGAACCTAAACAATGCTAAATAGGCAGACAGTTTTTTAATTTTGTGGTGTTTAACATCCCAAAACCACCATATGATTATGAGAGACGCCGTAGTGGAGGGCTCCGGAAATTTCGACCACCCGGGGTTCTTTAACGTGCACCCGAATCTGAGCACACGGGCCTACAACATTTCCGCCTCTATCGGAAATGCAGCCACCGCAGCCGGGATTCGATCCCGCGAACTGCGGGTCAGCAGCCGAGTACCTTAGCCGCTAGACCACCGCGGCGGAGCCCTCACGTCGACGCCTGTTTTTTTTTCTTCGTTCATATTATTCTGAAACTTGGTCGTTCAGCATGTAGTTTTTTAGGGGCAAAGCTCCTTATAGCGGCAACCATTCGTCCCTTGTAGTCGTAGTAGTAGTGTGTAACCAGTTTTACATTTTGACCTGCAAGGTGGTGCCGGTGAGAGATTTCTTCTGTGCGTTGTTGAACAATAAAAAATTCGCAGCGTGCGCGTTAACTAAACGCCGAATTCGCCTGTCTCTCATTCCCCCTTAGCAGCCATCGGCATGTACATTGAGCACTATCTGACAAGAAAGGGTTGCTACGTTATACTCGCCGGGCGTAACCTCCTTGGTATTAGAAAGGTTTAGCAAGCGTTGGGCCGTAGTGCCATGAATACAGAGAACTAGTATATACCATGAACTCGAGGTGGTTAAAGGTGGGAAGTAGACACGAAGCGCTAGCCGTAAGAAATTGTGCGTGTGCCTCATCTCTTTCAGTCCTTGAAATGTCCGCTGGATGACGGTGCTTCTATATGAGAAATATGTGATGAAAAGATGCAAGATGGTGGTACTTGGAGTGTTGAATAAGTGGACGAACGGATACACAGCCAGATGCATATACGGACGCATGAATGGCTGCACGGATGGATGGATGTATGGACGAACGCAGGGACGGGCACACAGATGGACGTGCGGACGCATGAACAGACGCACGCACGATGGGACGGATGGACGCACGGTCGGAGGGACGCACGCATGGACGGATGGAAGCAAGAGTGAGTAGACGAACGGATGCTTCACCCCACTCTCCATCATTCATTTGTGGATATTGTGCCATTTTTTTTTCGTATAGTTCTTTTCACTTGAGCCGCTGATTTGAGTCGCTGGAAACTGTGCTCGCCACCGCCCAATTACAGGATGGAACTTCGTGAACTTTCAGGCGCTGAACGAATTTACACTACAAATGCCACGTTCTTAGTATTTGAGGTTGGCCTCAAAGGTTATGTAGGTAACGCCGAGCTGAACGATATCCGCACAGACAGAAGCGAAGCCCATATAAGAAGCGTTTACTGTGCGAGCTAGTGTCCTAAAGTAATTGGAGCAAAAACTAAGGGATGGTGAGTAAACGCGCAGCCGAGTGATATAGTGTCAGGCTGGCCCAGAACGCAAGCGGTGCTTCATCATTGATACTGTGGCCTCCGCTATTAGTTCCCTCAATGAGTCACACTAAGAACAAGTTCATAGGTAATTGCGGACGCCACAGTTCTAATATGCGCCGGCGTACATTCGAGACACGTGCTGGCGTTTGTAATATTGGCGTGAAGTCAATTAAAACAAGGCTCTGGCCATGAATAAAGGAAATAAAAGCCATACGTTTCGGCCACGTACGGGAGTCTAGTTTACAAGTGAAAATCGGTGCGTGCGCAGTCTATGTGATAAAATGTGACATAAGCACCGTGTGTATACGCGTGTGGAAAGTTTCCGTAATTTCAATTGACTGGTGTGCGCCGTGTTCTATAGAGTGTGACAGATTCGAAACAAAGATGAAACGACTAGTTTTCTCTTTGTTTTCTCTGTCTGCACGTCCACCGGTATTGTTATGGGTAGGTTGCTTAATTACTCGGAGTACTGGGTGAACAAGACGGCACCAGTCCGACAACAACCAGCCACCGTCGTCGTCTCTCTCTTTGATGCAGCAAAGCTGCGGCGGCTGTTCTGTATGAATATCATTGAGATCTAACAGAAAATCATGCCAAGGATAGTATAAGGGTGGTTCTGCGAGGTAATTGTAGCGTAAAGATAAGGAAAGAAAAAAATAGAAGGAAAGATCCCTTGGATTGGGCAAGTTATCTTTTGTAATTTCCACTCACACATGTGAGCGAGGTAGAATATAGAACTCCTTCTGCACAAACACAGACAGTTTACCCACTGCTCTTTGTCGCACACACGTGGATTGCTCACGCTCGTGTGTACCCTAGTGCTCAAGCTTGGCAGCTTCGAATCACCTTAAGATTGCGGCCGATATTGTCTAGAAAAGGTAAGGCGAAAATTATTTTCCTTTCTTGCGTCATATATGATCTGTACACTGCGGTCATCTTCCTTGACTTTCTACAGCCTGCTACCTGCAACAGCGAACAACACATGACTCAGATTACTCGTCAAATGCGGAGATTGGTCGGCGGCATCCGTATCGACACGAGAGAAGCGAAAGACGTTCTCTGATCACGTCGCATATTAGCTCCCTACTTCATGAGCCTTGAACACGTCGCAGGCATTGTAACTGTTTAACGTGATTATGACGCCACGTATAGTTGCGTAACATGCCGATGCCACTGTGACATTGTCGTGCGATCACGGGTGGGCTGACTCAGAGGCGTCGCTAAACTATTCATGATCTGCATAACACTTTCAAAGCCTCCGATTCTGGTGGTGGAACCACCACCTGTGGTAGCCATATCAACCACTCATTCCAATCGTCACCCGTGTCATTAGCCTTCGCACGGAGCTTTACAAGTACGATTCGCTCAATGTTCACAATTGGAGGAAAGGCACTTACGGGGATCTGTTTCTGATCGAGGTGCCGGCGGTAATACTGAGACACCAGCAGGGACTCGTCATCGGCCGAGATAACGGCGGAGACGCTGAAGTTGTACATCACTCTCAGGTCGTAAGGGTACACATCCTTCACGTCTTCCGCTACCTTGACCCTGCGGAATAGTAGAATGGTGGCGCAAAAGAATGTGTGACTGCAAGAGTTGAAAGTTATTGGTAAGGCAGCGCGAAAGACAAAGAAGACCACAGCGTGTTGTCTTCTGCTTCTGCTTTCTCTAGTGATTCTGTCCCTTGCGCAGCCTTTAGAATGAGACGCAATTTCTTAACACAGTTGGGTGTACCTTACTTCGCCCAGGTATTTTATAAATAGTCCATTTATCAATCACTGTAGAAAAGTGTCATTTTGCGTGTGCGATTCTACAATTGATGCAACTAATTGACGCATCAAAATTTTAAAAAAATCTCTGAAGAGTGCGACCACCATATTTACTTCGTCATTGTTACGGTTATAGTACAAGTACACGTTGACTTACACGAAGATGTTTATGATCGCCTCATGGTGGCATCGTAAGGAAAACCGCAGTAATATTTTATTTAGCTAACGAAGCTCAGGAAAGCCGTTATCATTAAGTTATCCCGAGTGATAACGTTCTCCTTAGCCGATCACTGAAACCGCTTCGCCACCATGGCGTACTGTTACACACGCTCAAGAAACATGTCTATAAGCACGGCACATTGCCCCGACGCCCCATACATGCTTGCTTTCGAAACTGTTCTAAATCTTGGGCGCCGTTTCGGACCAAATTCTACAATTACAAAATTAACGTCTCAGACTTTTTTCCAATTCTTTAGAAATAACGTGGTTCAGCCGATGCTGTATTCCGTGTAGAGCAAGATGGCTCCAACCAAGAAGACGCATGTTCAATAAGCTGATGATGCTTATTTAAAGCTGAAAAAGATGAAGTCCAGTAGATGCATGCAATAGGGTCATCTACATCGAGCTTAGGTATATATATACACTCAGAAACCCTCGCTGTCGCAGCGTGTACTTCCTTACCCAACCATGTCGGTGAACTGGTTATCTCGTGGTTCAACGTGGTGAGACTTTTAACTCTGTAGCTTAGTTATCGTTGCCTATTGCACTACGAAGGCTTTCTATTACGATGTTGCTACCGCTGTATTGCAATTGCGCACTGTTCGCTCAATGGAGGCCTGGGGGACTTGAGTCTTGTCTTTAACTGTAGTGGATTAACTCGAATAAAGTTAACGAAAAATGATCATCCTTTGTGTCCATTGGATCCAAGAGCACAACCTTCGAATTATGAGTACTCATTACTACCCTAAAATTAAAGAGACATTACGTTCCGTATGCTTTCCGTGATTGAAAAGTCTGTTGCATTTGTTTCATTGTGGCTAACAAACCAAAGATGCCCTTAAAGAATTCAATTTTTCTGTGTCCTGGTGATTCCCCTATGATTTCCTTGTCGTAATAGAATGTTTGGTTCATTTCGTTGCTGCGAATAAGGAAACCAGACCTGAGAAAAAAACTTTGCTTCCGTTCCCTTATAAGGTATTATATGCAGCACCATTACATCTGTTTTAGCATATCATTCTTACTTCACATAAGCTGTAGAACGCAGCTAGTAAGTACTCAACAGTCACGTCATCTCGTGCACATCAGGATGCCACGTACCAACGCCTCCTCTACAAAGATGCCTGAGGAATGGCTCGCGCTCCCAGCGGAGTTGGCCTGCCTTCAGTTTTAAACAAGCTCCGCGCGGTGGCGCTCGCGACCGACACTATCATCACGACGGCGGGCGGTAACAGTTAAGCGTTTTTCATCTGCGGCCCATAGGGGCGCGTCAGTCGAGAGTTGTTCAAGACCTGCAACTGTGCACCACTGTTTCGGAGGCTATTCAAAGTGTTGCGTTGTTGCACCGTCCGCCACAGGTGACGCTAGCGACCGAGAACATTTTAAAACGAAGGAGGAAAAAGGTGTGGCAGCTGTTTTTCTTCTAATGCGGCAGGCATCTTTCTAGAGAGGAGGCGTTGCACTTACTTTCTGCTTTCTCGGATTCCCTGCAGGGCGAGCAGCACTGCTGGCGCGATGATTCCCAGAAACGGCAGCAGCCACTGATGGCGGACGAACTGCCAGCGTTTGCGGAGCAGCGCTCGCAGCGCCTGCAGCGACGATTTCCTCCACGCGCAGCCAGCACACTTCTCCTTCAGCGCTTTGATGTCCACGGGCTGCTGCGTTTGCTTCTGGCCTCCGGACGAGAGCATCTCTTCCTGGTCCTCGATCAGTTCGTCTGCAATTCTGCGATGGCAGTGGGAATGCGTGAATGTTTTTCACGCGTACGTCGGCAGCAATGCAAAGACAATAGGCGCGAGAGTAATGGGGATACGGCCTATAATGGTTTCACCATGACGTCTCAGTGTTTCGCGCAACTCAGAGTCGTCCACTGTCACAGAACGAGCGCTAAAAAAGAGCGCGCCGCCAAATCCTTGCGACAACGGGCGGCAGAAACGCCGCGAGGTAAAAAAAAGAAAAAAAAAAAGAAAGCAAACATCCAGGGCTCCCGGGCGCGCGCTCTCCCCGCAGAAGCACGGCTTCGCAGACGATCCTCCTCACCCCACATCGGCGGCCCAGCAAGGCCGCGATTTTTCTAGAACGAAGGAGGCGGGGTCAGACCGAGTGAATCATCCTCCGGAGAGGGCAGTCGAACCGTCTCGCACCTCTCCCCAGCCTTCGTTGCGTATCGCGCCGACGAAATGACGAGAAATTTCTGGAAGGTGGCGCGGAACGTATTTAATCGAGCAGCCGAAACGAGAAATCAGGAGGAGACGGAAGTTAACGCCAGAGCGCGTAGGGATTCCGCCGTGTAGTCGGCGAAGTTTTTGGTCCGTAGGGACGAGGCCGGAGGTGAAGAGGATTTCCACCTGAGGGGTGACGACTCGAGCTACCGGCAAGAGTGTGTGTTTACCGCTATCGAGCGAAGACGCGGGGCAACAGCTGCGTGTGTGAAGCCGACGTGTTCGGGCGAAGAAGTTTGAAGCTTGGAGAGTGGCCAATTGAAGACGCGAGGTTTCCTGGAAGAGAAACTTCGAGAGCTGCGGAACGACAACAACGCTGGACTTTGAGTGAGTGATTCTCGGAAGAGTATCATCTCGACTTTGGTTCCAAGAACTTTGGACTGAATAGGTTTTCTATCTCTTTAGTCTTTAAGGGTCTTGGTTGTTCAATGCATGCGACTGCATTGAAGTGCGTATTGTTGTCCGTGTCCGTTGTTTCGAGTGTGGCTGGTTGTTCTGTGTAGTACACTGTTTGATTGGTGACAATATTGTATGCAACTATTGTGGAGTGTGCATTCTTGGGTATTGTTTTCGATCTGCCAATTCCGAGAATATAATTTTTGTTCTGTTTATCAACTCTCGGCTCTGACTTGTTCTTTGGGCCACAGCCGGCGTCTGCTGGCGCGCCAATAAGGACCACTCTTAAATTGTCCACGCTTTCGTGGTGCGGTTCGGAGGGCCAATACTTCGGCCCTTGGAATTAGCCTGGCGATCGCCTCCCTAATAAACGGGACATGTGTGACATCCGCCACTGTGAGTAACGAAATTTTCATCTAAACTTAGACTGGTGAACAGCTGTCCAAACATCAAGGTTATCAATTCAGCGTATATAGCATTATTGTAATTGTTGTGTTTTACGTTCGATACACCCCATATTATTACGAGGAATGCCGTAGGGAAGGGCTCCGGAAATTTAATTGGTATAGCGTCTTAAAAAACTCAAAAAGTTGCAAGTAAAAAGATAATGCAAGTTTTCGGGTCCGAGTGAGGATCAAACCTAGGGCGTCCGCGTGGCAAGCAGGTCCTCCACCAAAAAGCCGCAATAAATGTTGAAAGTGCTTCGAGGACAAAACAAACACTGTAGAATGGTATGGTTGTGGTAGCATGCATAAAAGATGCATAATCGCCCGAGGCATCAAAAGATGCGAATTACGGAACAAGTCGGCGTTTTCAAGGCACAACCATTACAAAGTGCTCAGACATCTTTTGTCATCGTCAGCATCAGAAGCATCATCAAAGTGAACATTTCCGTATATGTTCGCATGCATTTGGCCCTTTGATGATTCGCAAAAGGAATAGGTATACGGTGTAGTGGGTACTTGACTTGTGGTAGATATTCACGGATATTTTGAAACGGCCAATGATACGCGCAGTGTCACATGGTTTTCTTACGGCATGGTTCAAGCAGACACCGAGACCCGAAGCAAGCTATAGCATGACAGAAGGCGATGCTCCCGATTACGCTTTCGCGACCTAGTCTTGCATACGAAACTCAAGCATCATCCCACTTTTGACCCTCCGGTAATTTTTAGCGCGCGCCTCTATCAAGGTTCTCGGGACTCAAGCGGGACCATCAAAATGTGGTCGGCGTCAAGCTTCGGGCCAGCAGTCAACTACTATAACCACAAGACTACCTTGGTGGTTGTGTACAAGCTGAGTTATTTGCACCCGTAGTATAAACTCTACAATCAGCAGAAGTCGCGTGGCAGCCTCCAAGATGGGATTGTACTGATCTTAGTTATTTGCTGAAATAAATTTTGCAATGGAAGTCTCGAAGAGAGAATTCAAGCAGCACTTTTTTTCTGTTTGCGCACCAAATCATAGCACGGCAAGGTAACTATGCGAAGTGTACTGCGCTGAAGACAACCTAATATACGAGCTGATGTGACGTACTGATTGGCAACATTCCCATCGTAAATCACACACTCAACATCTGAATAAGTATAACTATATAACCTTTTTTCAATATTCAACAAAATTTTACTAGAATTAACGTTCTGCTACCATTTACAGTATTAAAGGGAACAAATAGACACCAACACTGTCATACCGTGTATGTGAACATTGCGGTGAAATGCCACGCTATAGCTACTCCAGCAGTATGGCGGCATCTTCGGTTGCTACGCTTTGTTTCTTCCTCTATTAGGGCTGGCTGTTTAAGTTGCGATCGTCGCATATTATACGAGGACATGGCATGAGCACGAACCTGAGGTACACATCTTCCATGGTGGTGACGGAGACGGTCAGCATCGCTATGCCGAGCTTGCGGCGAAAGCGTTCGAGAACCTTGAACATGTCCACGAAGCCCTCGGACGAGGTCACTCCGAGGGACAGTCGCAGTATTTCGGCGCTTTCGGACACTAGCTGGACGGTGGGCACGTACGTCTTCACTACCAGTATGACGCCTCCCACGTCGCATCGCCGTGGCCGCTTGACAATGTCCAGGTGGTAGCCCGTGCCTGCGCGTACGTAAAATTCATCGCAATTAGTAACTGTCGGGTTTTGACGTCCCGAAAAACAGCGGTAATATTACTGAGAACACCGCAGTGAAGAGCAGACAAAATCTAGACCATCTGTTTTTTGTAACTGGCACCTGAATCTTGGGATTCCAGCGCTTTGCCTCTGCATCATAATTGCAATTAATCTTCCATTCACTGCACAGAATACTGTATCCCATGCAACGCAAGAAAAAAAAATGAGTGTGCCTTGTAAAAGACCACATAGGACAAATTGGGAAGCCAAGAAAAGATATTTAAGGGGTCGCTAATCGTTCTGTTTGATGTCTGGTAGCGGCGCTCCCACGTTGGCTTTCGCGTGGCCTGGCCTAGTATTGGGATAACTGCGTCTTTCGCCACGCTGCGGAAGCAAATGTCAGATGCCACACAGACAGAAGCGAGTGGTCGAGGTCTGGCCAGACAAAAACTATAATGATTCCGTATGTTCCCAAGAAAGGCACCTGCTGTTTCAAAGAACTGATTCGATGAGTTCTCACGCATTGTTCAATTCATTGGCCCTTAAGTTCACCTGTGCATCAATATCCTAGGTAACGACATAGACAGAAAAATGGATTTGGTACCAATTTCAAGTCTGACGCTAGCTTTTCTCAATATGCGGAAAATTTGGAGTAAGAGCTGTGACCAGCGGACCTCAAAAGGCCAATTAGTGTGCTATCAGCGTCATATAAAACCCAAACAACGGCGAGCCGTCGTCAATGTATAGTGCGCATCGTCCACTCATCAACAGGAACAGACACGTATGTACGCGCAGAACTGCCAAACAGGATGCGTGCACCTTTCCATCGTGATAACTAGACGGCGCGCACTATACCATCACTGTTCGGGTTTCATTTGACGCCGATAGTACTGAATGGTGGAGCTTAAGCATTATATTTATTACAACATAGTTACACATGGGCTAGCTTGTCAGGCAGTTGGGGTTCCTCTTATAGGCCAGTCATGTCGAGAAAATACAAAACAAATAATTTGAGCACAATAAGGAGCGAGTCGTTGTGAAATAAAGAGCGAATAAGTGCAAAATATTGAAAAAAGGGTGAGGAATGCAAGCGTCTATAGTCTTCCTTCTTCATGTCCCACTTTTTCGGAGTGGAGGGCTCCGGAAATTTCGACCACGTGGGGTTCTCTAACGTGCGACCAAATCTGAGCACATGGGCCTACAACATTTCCGCCTGCATTGGAAACACAGCCACCGCAGCCGGGATTCGATACTCTTTCTCTCTTATTTGCTCCACAGTAAGTTCTTGAAAAAATAACTTGTAAGGCAGTTTACTGGGTGAGCTGACTCGCTCAACAACACGTTCTACTCGATACACGTTTGCCTGCGGCAAAAAAAGCGGATCTACAGTCCTTTTTTTTAAATATCAAGGTGTCAATTCATCCGTAAGCATTTTCGAGGGGCACGACGAAATGACAACACTGCGTTCATCTATCATGCTATGCTAGGTAGAGTGATGTACGATGTACAATTTCTTACAAAACGCTTGGGTGGACACAAAAGCAGTACAGTTTAACAAAAAACTCCCAAGCATTTCCCCGAAGGTGAACATGGTTAAGTGCGAATACACGGGGTGATGCTATGAGGGGTATTTATGAATTCGCACTATTATATTTATTAATCACACTATGGTGCCTTTATGATGTAATGGTTCCTGGGAATCGCAATTTGATCACACGGAGTTTACGTTAACTCACTGGCGAATGCCAACGGATTTTACCTTTACTCCCCCTCACGACCCGCTCTCGACGGGAGACTGAGAGAGAAGGCGGGCGCGCGAGAGAGAGGGGTGCGCGCGCAGCTGCAGCGAGCGAGGAGAGCGGAGGAGCGAGCGAAGGAGAGGGGGTATAAGGCGCGTTACTGACTTTGATATCAGCGTTGCGTCCGTGGCTTATTCGGTAGAGCGTCGCGCTGCGGCCCGCCAAGTCCTCTTTCTTTTAAAGATAGAGAGAAGACTGCGGACGCCGCCGACGGCGGTGGATGGTTTGGGGTCGCTTATAAAGTGTATTCACACTTAAAAAATTGGGGGACCCTTGAGCTTCGTCTTTAAGAGTGAAACGCGATAGCGAAATACAGCCCCTAGTGCACGATTCAATCGCTAAGTGCATACTTATTCATATGTTTTGTTACACACAGACGCACGCACACAAACACGCACACAGTAGATTAGACCAGTGCGTGCTATTATCGCCGAATGGGGCTCATTTTCGTCGTGACACCTGTTGAGCAAAATGCGTTAAGGGCGCCCTGAAACACTTTTTCAAATAACCATGGATTGAATTCACGAGAAGAGCTTTTTGCCTCATGAATTCAACGCCGCAAAAATTTTAAAAATCTGTTCAGTGCGAGTGGAATTACAAAGGCTTGTCGCATGCTGAAATTGCATTATCTCTTCTCTCATCCCTACGAAAGCGCAGGAAGCTAAGCAGGGAGGGGTGGCATGGCAAAGAAACTACCGCGCCCCATGACCTTTAGCTCTTTTAAAGACGCTAGTCTTTCTTGGGGACCCTTGACGAAAAAATTTTGGTCTGTTTATCTGTCTGTACATTTGTCTTTTTGTCTGCCCTTACCGATGCCTCAAACGGCACCAAACGGCCAACCCCATTCGCAGGTCAAGATTGAGCATTAGTACTTTTGCGATTGTCAATTAAATAGCAATGATTGCGCATGTCTGAGGCACCATAACAACACGTCGATGTTTTGTATGTGTGCCTTTATACTAGAGAAGGCACACCAAGTATTTCTAAGGACCGTAGTGTTTATTACGCTGCGCTGACAGCGAAACGCAATGCTCAAAAAGGTGCGTCGAACGCTTTGCTAAGACGACACGGTGGTGGCACCTGCCCGTCGCTTTGCGCTCTACAACTTATCACCTCCGAGACAAGCGCGCATCTTTTTCCGCGCGCTCGCACGCCTTCCTTCATATTCGAACTGCCAGATGGCGCTAGTGTCTAACGTGCCTCGATGCGCTCATTCGCCTCCGCTACACGTTCGAGGCACTAACGCAGGGCCTCCAGAATACCATTCACCAATTTTCTAACGCAGAACACCAAATAAACGTTTTGTTCACTCTCTCCAGGCGCAAGACTATCGTCTTTAGACAACGTTTGCAATATAGCATGCAGATTCGGGGCCAACATTATTTTTCTTTGAATGCGCGGCTTTTGCAGTGTTATCGCGCGCACACGCGTCGACAAGTAGCAGCCTCTCTCGGCAACTTGATTTTTCGGCCACAGACACACAGACGATTTTTCGCTCACAACCAACGTGGCTGATGCCGGCGGCGGGTTTTCCGCGACACGAGCTCTTTAACGCTGTCGCGTTAAAAGGCTCGTCCTACACAGCACGGCATTACGAACCGCGTTGACTCAAATAAAGTAGTTCCTATTAAGGTCTGATCTCAGTTTGCTTTTCTTTGCTGATCGCGAGCCACCGCAAAAGGCATTAAAGTTGACCCAGCGCAATAATCAAAGCACAACCTAAATGAAGAGATCGAAAGTCCTAATAGGCGAATAGACATTGAATTAAGGTCTAAGAATAACTATTTCCCTTCCGGCGTACCGAATCGATGCTTGAGGAACTGCGACGATCCACAGCATCGTATCGTTCCCTCCGCAAGGATGGCGATTCGGTCGCCGACGACGTCCGCCTCTTCCATGTCGTGCGTGGTCAGGAGCATCGTGCACGTGCGTCTCATCTTCTGCAGCAAGTCCCAAACCTCGTTGCGACTCTGGGGGTCAAGTCCTGCTGTTGGCTCGTCTAGAATGAGCACCTAACGGGTAAACAACACAGAAACGTGGATCAGTCTTGAAATGCTTCGAGGGTCGAGCTAATGGTAAGGGTGACCTAAATCGTGAATGTTCGTGAACGCGATGGCTGGTTAGTGCGTTGTTAATTGAATAAAGAACGCCATTTTTCACTGCTCGTGAAGGCTGCTAGAAGCAGCAATGACATCACGGCTGTAGCCCAGAGCATTAGAATGCGGTGTCGCTATCTCCTGAGCCACTTATGATGAATTCAGTGAAGTCCACACAAACTATATCAATGAAGTAATACCTTAAATGAAAAAAAAAAATTATTGTTGTGCCACACTATTTGAGTTCTTTCATAATGGTACTTAAAAAACCAAGCCAACGAACGACGAGGTGATCCACACAGAACGCGATTATTCCGTATCGTCTCACTTTTGAAGGCGAAGCTCAAACATCTTAGTTTCCTAATGTATTATTCTGATAACAGGCATACGGACACTAAAAGCGAATTTATTTTGCGTTGCCGTCATGTTCGGTATATAAGAAGTACGCACAAGAAACTCGTGAAGGAGTCTGGCCCTGTAAATATTTTGTTTTGTTTTTGAAGAGGTGCACGACCACTGAATTCGAACAAACGTCACTTCAAATATGGGCGCATGTGGTTGATGCCGTGGCTGATAATGATCACTTAAGCCCCAGTGCTCTGTAAAAGGTAAGTTTTTAAACTAGCTACTCACTGAATGCGCTGTTTCCACGGTATGACGATAGCCGGAAGAAGAGAAGAATCATTCTTTTAGGCACTCCTCTTTTTCACCTCACTTTTGATTAGTTGCTATCACCGTTATATATCGCTTTCGAACAACGCCGCTTTCTTGGGCAACCTACGACGCCGACACCTGTATTTCTACACCATGGCCTCTATAACACCGCTGCATTAATAGTGTGCGCGCGTTGGTCATAGAGACCAAGATATAATTGATGGCATGCCATTCTGTGATGGCAAATCATGATCCCACTTCAAAAATCAGGCGCTACTTGGCCAGAAGAGTACGGTTGTGCTCACCTTTGGGTCGGCAATTACTGTAATTGCAAGGCAGAGCTTCCTCCGGAATCCTTGAGGAAGGGCCCTGGGGAAGGTGTTGATGTGCGGCCCGAGGTGAAGCGACTTTATTATAATCTCGACCTGCTCTGCGATGGTCTCGGCCGAGATTCGTTGAATCTACAGAACGGCAAGAGAGAAGAGAGTTTTCCAGATCGCCTGATGGAAAATTAGCTCGTTGGCGACTCTCACTACTGCCAATCATAGAGCCCCGCCACGACGGTCTAGTGGATAAGGTACTGGGCTGCTGATCCGCTGGTCGCGGGATTGAATCCCGGCTTCGGCGGCTGCATTTTCGATGGAAGCGAAAATGCTGTAGTAGGCCCATGTGCTAAGATTTTGGCGCACGTTAAAAAACTCAGGGGGTCGAAATTTCTGGAGCCCTCCACTACGGTGTCTCTCATAACCATATGTTGGTTTTAGGGACGTTAACTCCACATATAAATTACTGCCATTCATGCAGGGGAAATCTAGTGAAAGTCTCTCTTCCTTATTTCTTCTCCACCTTGCGGCACAGCTTGGGCAACACATTCTTGAGTGAAGATGCTAACCCCCGTATTCAGAATCTCTGCTTGATTCGGAACTTGACTCGCCACCACCTTCAATGCGGTAGAAACGCGTTTCTAACGCGCTGCTTTAGGCGGTGCCAAGGCAGCACAAACGCATAAACACGTTTCTGCATTTCAAACGCTCTGCATTGAAGGTGGGGGCAAGGACAAGCTTAAGTCAAGGAGCGTTTATGAATACCGCGGAGTAATACTTTGTCAGTAAGGGTGTTTTAGGTCGGAGCTGTACATTTGAGAGTAGGCAAAATGACACCACCCACAACAAATGTAGCCGAGGTTGTTTTGTACTTCCGCATGAAGTTTTTTTTTTCCTCTCCTTCTTAGCATAACGCCACTAGTATTGCGTCAATGCTGAATTGTGCACTTTTTCAGGTTTAGCGTGTTGATCTGTCTCGTTCATTTTTCAAACAAATGCGACCATACGACTAGGATGAGTTAGTGATGACGACTTACCAAATAGGGCGAGATAAAGCTATTACTAAGGTTATTTCACTCAACAACTTCTTACGCAAAATGTTTTAGACAAAGAATGAGACAAAGACGAAGTATCAGCTATCAAGGAGTACGAATTAAGTCGAAGCCACACCCTATTACACTGAATTATCCCAATTACGAGCACTAGCCTACAGTATTCTGCGACGCTGTCTCACGGCTTTGAGGCTGGTCGGCACAGTCTCCCGTGGGAAATTTAAGGGTGAATGAATAGGAGGGTAGCCTGGTTGGTGTGGTGACACACAGGTGGAGCGACACATTGTAGACTTCACTCTACAGTACGGATGATATGAGGTGGATTGGAAGCAATAAATTCATTCTCCTTATTTCATCCTTTTCATACTTGATCTCTCCCTCCTCACACAATATTTCTTCTACTGCTTGACGGAAATTGTCTGAGAGAGTGTCGCGTAAAAGAGTAGTGAATTTTCAGTTTCCCAACACAAATTGCGCTCGGCGTATGCTTTTAACTCTGTAGCACTTTGGTAACAGTTTTTTATTTGTTTGGTTGCAATATAGCTGACGCCGTTCATGATAACAGTGGTAGAAACTAATTTCGACCACTCCTGACACTAACTTCTTAACGATATCGCGGTTCAAACAGCTCCATATTCTCAGCGATAAGTGCAGCCGTGGGGCAGTTGGTCATGCTAGCTAACCTGCCACGTAGAATGCGAGAAATAGCTCAATTTTTATATGTACGTTGTTTCAATACATGGAAGCCTTTTTTCACCATCGTGGAAGCTGTTCAAGTAAAATACTGTACAATTCTCATGTCGACGCCGCGAGAAGACAGAGTTCCAAGGTTACCAAGGTGAAGCTCACGTCTACGTAAAACATACCCGTGTTGACACAGCCTAAGACTAAGTGCCCTACGAATGTGCTTATAGTTGACTTGCGTTCCACACAAAAAAAGCTGGGAAGATTAAGGACAGCTGTGGGCCTAGAGTCGGTGTCATAAAGACAATTAGGTATTAGAAAGCGTTGTTTAGGAGCGATTTGAGGTTTCATTCAGTTGATGTGTACAGTATAGCATTTTATAACATACCGGCAATACAGATGGAGAACTTGCTGAGGAAGCAGCGGGAATATTCTTTTTTTTTTTTTGTCTGGAGGACCAGAAGCATCTGACGCTTACTGTACGTTCAGAAACAACACCAACGATGCAGTTCCTGTGTTTAATTTTGAGGTATTCTCGCAACGTAGTTAAATCAGCACAGATGCGAGTATAATCTTTCAAGGGACAGTTAAGTTTGCTTGGGAGGGTGTCGTCATATGGTCAATCTGAAATTGAGTGAAGGAGCGCCATTTATTTGTAATCGCCGTGGTAAGATATCTAGGAATTTCAATATTTTTAACAAAATCTGGCGCAAACCCCAACTCAGAAAGGAGTAAATTTACCTAGGAATGATTGATGTTTCAAATAGGCATGTTATTGTGAAACTTCGCCTCGCCATGCTTTGATGGTTTTGAAAGAGTTAAGCCTATGCGAAGATGGGATGAACTTCACTTTGTGAGCATCCATTGAACGAGCTGTCCAGAAGATTCAGGTGCACTATCTATACTGATTACAGCGTATATAAAAACGAAAGCTTATGTGGAGGAATTACAGATCCTGACTCTAAGCTGTTCGGCATATTGATTGAAGTATTTTTTTCTCGACACTACAATACTCTGAATGAGAAGAGTGTTCCGCACACTGAGTAACTTTTTACACGCACTGCAACACCTGAGATGTTTGTTAAAAACATTGTAATGCAGTTATATTGACATTAAAAGAGCTGCCATTGGACTGTGCATACAGTGTACATGGTTCTTTAAACTTACATACATACTGTACGTGATATTAGACTGTACATACACTAATAGTTGATTTCGACAACCATGACTTTGACTCATAGATACACTGTACGTGCCAAAGCGAAGGTTGTAGAAATTAAAGCTGCTATACTTCGTAAAAATACCGCTATGTGATCTGCCCCTCGCAGCCTCCTCTACAGCGTGTTGCCTTTCTTGCTTTCGCTTGTGACAGTGGTGCCCTCTGTAACGCGCCACGAGCATGCTCCGGCGAGGCGAAGAAGAAGTGGCGCAGATCTAAAGAACGCTGTACTTTTTCAAAGGTATAGATGATTTAATAGAAAACACCTTTTAGTGCCTTATTCGACAAAAAACTACATCTGCATAGCTTTACCACACTCGAATATTACTGAGAATACTCACAATCGCAAAAAAGTAGAGGTGTTCGTACACAGTCAGCTCATCGTACAGCATGTTCTTCTGGGGGCAAACCCGCACGTTCTCAAGGGCATCCTCGTGGTTCTTGATCAGGTCGAACCCTTCGATGATGGCCGTGCCGTACGTCGGTCGCAAAAACCCTGCGTTTTCGGACGTACATCGGCAAGCAACCTTTTAGGCTGAGCCGGTTGTGACAAATTTTTTTTCAGTATGTGATAAGAGAATGACCGGGGTTTTAGGTGCCGAAACTACTATATGATTATGTAGCCCTATGAGTGGAGGGTTCTGGTAATTTTGAGTATCTGCTTCTCTTCAACGGGCGCTCATAGAGCACAACAAATGTACTTCTAGTTTTTTCGCGCACAAACTGAGAATGGAACGTCTCAGCCAGTATTGAACCGGCAACTGTATGCATGCAAGTTTCTCGATAGATGTCATCCTTCACTTTAGTAAGCTTGACAAACACTCGTGCAACTGCTTGCCTCTCGAACACTCAACATAGATATAGTGAATATGGTAAACAAAAAATTCCGCCATATCCACGAAGTGAATGATGATGAGTGGGCGAAGCTCCGGAGGTAAACCTGGTAAACCATGAATCCTCTGTACATTTTGCCCACTCGATTTTATTACATCGCTCCCCCTAGCGTACGTCGCCGCACTAAATCGAACGATTGCCTTCAACCAATGACACGCGCTATATGTGACATCATTCCTATTTTATAAGATCTCGCGTCTTTCATCAACTACAAGTACCGCTTTCTAGTTTATAACATCTTGCATCTTTTCATCATCAGCTACAAGTACCACCATCTAGTAAACACAACAAGAACTAAACGAGAGGTGGCTACATACAGGAGACGGTACCGCCATCTAGTGAACACTGCAAGAACTAAACTAGAGGTGGCTACATACAGGCTACAGGGGACGCACAGCCCACGCCCTAAGGAGCTTCGCCCCTAAAATATGTTTTGTAGCATGGAGTTGCACAAAAAGATATGAGTGCCGGTAATACCTGTCATTATAGGCATGCGTACGGAGAGGGGGAAGGCAGGCGTGTGGCCTACTCTCCTAGTAACCCGAATGAGCAGGGGGGAGGAAAGTCTGCCCCGTACTTAGATTTATTGTAGAGGGGGGAGGGGTGCGATGCAAAACCCCACCAAAGAGGAACCCGTCGCACGCATATGCCTCTCACCAACAAAAATTATACCACCACGTCATCCAACAATACCACACATATGCGCTAGTGTTTGTTCTCTCTCAGTTAGCTTTCGTCACTTTGGCTAAACAAAGAAAATACGCATGGACATACCCGATAGCATGTTGCAAATGGTAGTCTTGCCCGCGCCGTTGTGTCCCAAGAGTACGAAGACCTGCCCGTAGTAAAGCCGCATGTTGAGATGATCTACTGCGAACTTCCTGCGGTAGACCTGGGGGGTGAATGACAGTATGTACATTACAAAATTCCGTCTGTTATGTTCAGTAATTGCGTTGAAAACCTCAGGCGACATAATATTTGGTCTGAATCTGTTAGTATGTAACGTGTACTACTTCTTGGCCAACCAAGCCGACCATGCCCACTTAAGATCTATCTATCTATCTATCTATCTATCTATCTATCTATCTATCTATCTATCTATCTATCTATCTATCTATCTATCTATCTATCTATCTATCTATCTATCTATCTATCTATCTATCTATCTATCTATCTATCTATCTATCTATCTATCTATCTATCTATCTATCTATCTATCTATCTATCTATCTATCTATCTATCTATCTATCTATCTATCTGCCCGCCCATTCGCCCACCCGCCTGTTGGCTGCCTGCCCGTACGACTTTTAGCTCTCCTGGCCGTCTCTATTACGGTATCAATACCGAAATTGGTATGGCATAACATGTGTTTGCGATGAGCATAAGTGACTTGTCATATATTAAAATCATGACCTGCACGTCATGAATCTCATGATTTACATGTCATGCGCCTGCTGCTCTTGCGGTAGTTTCGTTCATATACCATATTGCTGAACTGGTATGGTATGGCATGGGTGCATAACGAACAGAAGTGGCAGGCTCTAACGTAGAAATCATGACATGCAAGTCATGTAAGTCATGCCTGCACCCCGCGCGTATGGTGCCCTTGCATTCGTTGCGCTGACTAGCATTCGCTGACTTGCATTCGTTGCGCTGACGTAGTCAGCGCAACGAATGCAAGGGCACCATACGCGCGGGGTGCAGGCATGACTTACATGACTTGCAAGTCATGATTTCTACGTTATAGCCTGTCACTTCTGTTCGCCATGCACCCATGCCATACCATATTCATTTCACCAAATTTGGTGAAACGTTACGCGAGTGGCACCGAAGTAAATGATACGTCCAAACAGGATAATCATGACATGCATATCATGTAAAATATGACTACATGCTACGCTCATAGTGCGCTCGCGACCGTTTGCCTAGTTTCACGTATATCAAATTTGGGGTTGCGTGACGTGAATGAATGAAAAAGATATATGACTGGTGCAAACATGATATTCATCATATGCGTGTCATGCAAGAGCATCACTACATAGCACGCTCATGATGCGCTCGCGGCCGTTTTGTTAGCTTCACATATGCCTAGTTTGATATTTCGTGACGTCAATGAACGATGAAGGTGAATCACATGTCGAAACATGATAATCATGATATGCGTGTCATGTAAAACATCACTACATGCTACGCTCGTTGCACGCTCGTGGCTGTTTCGCAAGCTCCATATATACCTAATTTAATATTACGTGACTTTAATGGCTAATAAACAAAACATAAAACGCAATCATGATAATCATGACATGGAAGTCAGGTACGGCATAATTTACATGCCACGCGCATGGTGCGCTTGCAGCTGGTTGGCTAGGGACGTCACTAAATAACTTAGTAGGCGTTGAGGGACGTCACTGTATTGCGATAATGAATTGCAGGTCCTAACATGCGAATCACGACATGCATGTCCCGCGCGGCATGATATACAAGTCACGCTCATGGTGCACTGGCACCCTACTCGCTAGCTTGATATACAACATATCAGCCTGCCACTGCTGGTGCTGATATTGCAAACGTTAGTGGTGCCGTCGTTATAAGACTATAAACAACATACTTTCAACCTATTCAGAGACGTGCGTGCGCATATAATTTCTGCTTGTGTTTTCTGTGTACTACGTCCACGCGCCTTGTAAGATTGTGGAGATTTTGAAATAACATATCAACCTTCCTCAATCATGCCTCGTATATCAACGATTCGTACTGTTCGTTCGATCTGCAAATTTTTGTTTTAGATATTCTTGAAAGTGTAAAGTATCACAGGAAGACACAAGAAAGATGAATCGCATGACATTCGCACGGACTTTCACTCGATAACAGCCCGACCACAAAAAAGAAAGCGAAAAAAAATAAGAGGAGTTGCGATACGTTATGCTTACGAAGGAGGCAAGCTTTTTTTTTTTGCTTTGCTGAATTGCAAAATAAGAATACGAGCTCCATTTTTGGAACTAAAGGCGTAACTAACAGTATTGATTCACACATTACAAGGCATTCCTCAAAGTACGTTTGCATACTGTTTTCCTGTGAAATAAAAATACTTTCAAATTACAGTGGTTCCCTCACCAGAAACATTGTGATTTTAAGGATTAAGGAATCCATAATTGTTTCAGCGACCATCAGCTGTACTCAGCGGCTGTGAAGTTCTGTTTTTCTAGTTTCATCGGATCAGTGAAACCCGTGGTTACACGTGGCACGCTGGTGTGCCTTTATATTACCCAAGCTTTTGTTATGACAAACTTCTCAAAAGTGCAGTGGTGGTCCTGCAGTAACATTTCTTCAATTAGGCCATTGTATACCGTTGTTGCTTGTGACCTTACGATGAATGTTTTGTATAAGCATGCGAATATGGCGTGGTGACCTAAACATTACATTCATTCAGCGTAGTTGGCTAGAACAGAACACAGGCACGCAGAAATTTCTGAAAGAGGCCTCAGTCGAAAAGAACATAGAAGGCATAGAGCCCATAAGGATATTGTGCTAGCATATGGAAATGATCAGAACTCCAAGAGAGCCGCTGAGAGTGCTTCGCAGAAGTGCACTCGAGTGTACGAAGCCAGGGTGCAAGCGCACACCTTGCACATATCGATGACCTCAATTACGAGCAGGAGATGACGGGGTTCCTCCTCGAAGTTCTCATGGCCTTCTTCCTGCGAGTGACTGCTCTCCTGGCTACCCGCCACTTTGACTTCTTCCACGATCACGTTCCAGTAGCTCGCCTGCGAAAAACACGCGCATCGTCGTTAATAGAAGGAAACATACCAGGAACACATAAAGGGTCGTGGACCGTCGTGTGGGAGTTTATTGCCTCGCGAATCGATGGCCGCGCTAATTCTTCAACAGTGGGCAAAGCACGCAGCAAGTTACGCAGGAAAAGATGGCATAGTGCCACGGAAAGACGTTGGGTCACTGTGCGCCATGGCCTTTTACGTGCGAAAGAAACGCTCTCTCCCGATGTACACGAGTGTGGCCCACTTTGTCACGTCAGCGGTGGTGGTAGAAAGCACTTTATTGCAGAAAATGTACTATCAGCTCAGAAGAGAGTAAGCACAAGCGTCTGTATGAAAGGAGGGTGCCTTTGAAAACAGTAACCTGACGCTTCATTGCTATGCTATCTTTGCCGCACATGGGCGCACAGCGTGGCTTCACCGCCCATGGTAGTTTCCTGTCCTCGCAGGACGGGTTTTAGAAGCGAAGCACCTTACAGGGTCTAGACTTCTCCGTTGTTCATTGAGCGGTGATCGCGATGACGCTGACGACGGTGAAAAATAAGCGAGTTTGCACATGCACAGTGCATGTAAGGTACCCACTATACGCCATCACGACAACACTAACGACGGTGAAGAATAAACGCGTTAACACATTGGAGGTACCCAATGACGATGACGACCGTGCAACATTCTCTTTGTGTCACATATGAAAACAAATGTAAGACGCGGGAAGCGGTGCCAAAATGACAAAAGCGCTAAGAGCAATCGCAGTTGAGGCATTTGTACTTCTCGAAGACATCAGCATTGAAATCACTGACAACGAGGGGCCCTACCGTATATGACGTTGCAGAATAAATTTGAGCGCAAATGGGCAACACACAAGAAGAAAGGATGACTGTACTTCTTGTGTGTAGCCCATTCGCGTTCAATTTCATTCCAGAAAGAACCAGAACGTCCAATAAAGCATTCTATACAGTATATGACGTCTCGATATGCTCTACAATGCATTTCGTATCACTGGAAACAACCACTAGGGGAACACGCATAGACCCACCTCATCTTTGCCAACTTCAGCCTAGATCCGACAGACGAGCCATGGTCTCTACGTTTCACTGACCACAAAGCGGCAATACTGAGGACAATACGAAGTTCTCAACTCAACATAACGTACTGTGTATGACTAATAAACATTGTAAATGACTGTACCTCGTTTTGTCACTCATTTACATGCATGAATGGGCTATGTCGCGGGTGACTTACGGTAACAGCGAGGGATCTCACTGCTTCGCCCGCTAATCATCATCATTCACTCTGTGTAGATGCTGTGATTTTTCACCAAACTCGAGGTGTGAAACTGACAGTTAGGTGAGTTGGTAACGGCACGACAAGAAGCACAGTGGCGCCCGCAGTGCAATCTGTAGACTGAACACTACTTTGTAACCACTTTAACAGAGCTGTTTTCATGTTCCCCTTGCACCTGTATGAAGCCCGATGTACTGGACATGGTCTACAACATGAGTCAAGCAGTCCTTGCGGCGCGCAAGAAACAGAGGAACCCGCATGTCCTAACTCCTCGAGTCTTGTCGACACACGTGGCAGCATTTGTCTTCGTTCTCTTTTTTGTCTGTCGTCTGCTCGAGCGCAGTTTGTTGACGGTGGACTCATCTAATCATGATCTCGTTCGGTTCTCTGGCTCATTCGAGATTCAAGAAATTTTATCACGTAGCGTTATAGCCTGGAGCTTGTCTCATGTCGATCCTCACCATGAATGGGAAATGCAGCGGTAACGGCACAACGTTGGTCCACGGTAGTACGGCCTCCAGATACCAGATGCCGATGATGAACACGAACGCGCTGGCGCCCATGCAGAGCATAAGAGTGAACGGGGTTACGTTGTCCCTACCGAGTGCCTTTCGGTAGATGGCGGGCCAGCCGAACGGCACGTCTGCAAACAAGAACACCGAACGTAGCATTTTGACGCCCCCTTATGTATCAGCCTGCTTAGTCGTGCCGGGACATGAAACTTCGCGTCAGTGGACAAGGGAGGAAAGCTTGGAAACAATTGGTAGTGTTTACCTTCTCTTGCTATATTATCTCCCTATACCAAATTACGTTCGCTACTAAATTCGCAGAAGTTAAAGTTCAATGTAGCCAGAAACTTCTCCTGGAGTCGAACTTAAAAAGACATGAAGGAAGATGGTGTCGATAATTAGCCAATCTGCCGTGAGGTCGCCGCGATGGGAACCCAGGCAGAGTCATACGTGAGGCACACTTACGTTGAAGACTGATATAATGAATGTGCAAATAATTATAGTAGCAAGTACACATAAATATTATCATAAATGTGAAGGTAGAACATTATGCGTATATAGCGGTTAAAATAAAGTGAAAGTAACCGTTATTTTGTCCTTTTATGTCGGGGACAGAAACACAAAATAAGACATCATGGGTGGTTAATGATGGGTGGGTAGTAGAGACCACAGCACCTGTGGTGCGTACTATGTGTCTATACATGTGTTCCTTACCACTGCCTTCCAATCAATCAATCAATCAATCAATCAATCAATCAATCAATATTTTTTAAACACACATAATCACGCGTTGCTCTTTGTGCAGATAATCGTCCCTGCCCGGCGCATATACTACTGCGGCACCACCAAGAAAATGGGCAAATATCCTGCGATAAGCATTGAAGTATTATTCACTGTTAAGGAGAAAGGTACACAGTTTAGTAGTATGATGCGTTATTCTCGTTATTTTTCTTCTTCGAAAGACAGTGTTTACAAATTTTATATGCTTCACAGAATTTCCATACGAACGTGCGTTAAAAGTGATCAATTAGCTACGTTTCTTGCGGCAAATTAGCCATGAACTACATCCGAATCATTTTAATAGTAGCTTATAGTTGTGTATGTCGTTTCAAATTTAAGGCCACCATAACAACACCGAAAATTTGCAGTTAGTTTTGATAAACCTGCCATTCTGAATGCTTCAATGAACTTTCAGATTTAATTATCGGAGCTCGGTACCCACCTTGAACATTCATAAAGCACTCATAATGACCGAGCCTTCTGCACGTAGTGTTCCACTTACACTCTGCCAAAAGCTGATATCAGCTCTGTCCTTTCTGTGTAATGATGGAAAATGATGGCTGAAATTTCCCACATGGCGAATTAGTTATATTGAAGACCTGAAGCTCAAGAAAGGTTTTTGACTACAACAGTAGCAACTGCATCGATTTTATGTGCAGACCACGACATGATTATGAGGCATGCGGGGACAGCAAAGTATTTAATTTCGGTCAACTGCGCTTCTCTAACACGCAAGCAAATGTAAAGGCAGGAGTTTCCTTTGCCATGCTCTCCCCTCCCCCTACATGCCACCAGCGTGGCGGAGAGCTAAACCCGCTTAAGTTTATGAACGTGAAAAAAACTTAATTTATCGGTTCTTTACGAAAGTGCTACAATTAAGGATGACCCACGCATGTTTCTCAAAAGGAAGGCTTCTTTCTTGAATGAAAGTTCGTATTTTACGGGATACGAACTTGGGACTTTCCTGTGCGGCGGTTTACATGCGGGCAAATCAAGAGTCTTGCAAATAGGGAGCGTTATGGTGAAGATCAAGACTAAGTTTTGTTGTCCACGCGCCAAGTTTTAGCTTCTAAAAAAGCCGCAAAACTGATCTCTGGGCTTTTGCAAAAGAGAAACTTGTGCGAAGTTGCACGCATCTTTACCGTACGACTCGTAGAACTCGACGATGCGGAAGAAGAAGTAGAGGCCGTGTATGGGTATCACGGAGGCGAATAACTTGGAGCTGCTCTTGGTGGCAATGTAGGCGGACACAGTACGGGCAGACCACTGCAGCGACAAGAAGGGACCCAGCAGCGACACCGTCCACAGGATCAGGCCACACGCCAGGCCCAGACTTGCTGCGTCAGCGTGCCCCGCCAAGCAATGTCAGATTAAACACAAGCGGGGAGCAATTGAGACAAAGAAATTCGCAGCGACTCATAGGTAGTACATAGCCAAAAGAAAACAGGTAACAATTTCTCCGTGAGAAAGGTTCCGAGCCTGCAAAAAAAAGAACAATCGGGTCGGAGATCGAACTCGGGACCTTTTAAGGGTGGACGTTCTGCCGATTGAGATAAGCAGAAAGCTTGCAATTAGCACCACGAACGTGTATTAATAGGTAAATTGTATCTACTGGATAAAGGAAACTGTAAATTGCTTCTACAGAATGAAACAAGGCAGCGGGAAGGTGAAAAAAGAGAAAGCCTTTACGTCACCCGACACTGTCCAGCCTAACTGATTTTGCAGGAATCTGTGACGCCGAGTTAGAAGTTCTCGAATAATTCACCTTTGCGCTGCGATTTTCTAGCTCCATTGGTAGAGCAATCAGGCTGGACCGGCGATAGTCCCTTCTCAATCCCCAGACCAGGATGAGTTTGTCGGTAACTAAGAAGCTTTCTTGCTGAGAAATTATTGTCGATTTCCTCGTAGTATCGTCCTGGTAGTCAATTGTGATAGTCAATTTCCTTTTTGTAATTTTCACATCACGTCACGGGATCCCGCAGGACAGAATTTCATATTAGACGCAATGTTTTCGTGCAGTACAGTGATAAAACCACTTTACAGGTTTAACGCTAAGAATTTTGACGAAATTTATTTGATGAAATTTGACGAGATTACGAAGGTGGACAAGAAGTGCAACTTCAGAGGTCCCAGGAAGTGAAAACTGTCAGGGGGACCTCCTAACAAAACATAAACGAGGGTTTACAGGAGACTAGGCGAACAGTGAGTCATTTTTCATATAATTTCCATAGATTTGGTAATACGTGACAAAGTATTCATAAGTAACAAATATTAAAAAGCGAGCCATGACAATCACAAACGTAAATGATAAAATAATTTTAACAAAGTCCGATAGAAGAAATCACAAAAATTAATTAAGAAAATAGTGGCACAAACAGCTACACATGCGAACAAGTATCGAAATGGGCAAAAGTGAAACACTTGGAAGTGGTAACAGCATATTGCGAAGTAGTAGGGTAGACAAAACCTAGTGAATTCTGTGTGTCTAACAAAGTGTTAATGAAATGCTCAGTAGTTTTACGTTTGAATGAGAATAATTAAGATGGCTTTATATTCGATGGCAATGAATTCTTGCAGTTCGTAGAAATTTCTAATTTATATGCAAGACAACCAGCGTGCCGTTGCCCTACAAGCAGCCAATGATGCAGGAGGGACAGTTTGGGATCCAGCTATGAGATAAAAACACTCCTTCCCATTTTGGGTGATAAGATAACAAGTGAAGTAGGCGGGTCGGTTGGATAGGGAGCATATGCTCAGAAAAATATTTTCCGATTTTATCGACACCCGCAACAATTACCCCCTGCGTGCTTTTTGCCATTGGCACAATGTGCGTTGAGCAGATCCACAAGCAAGCCCTCATCCTGTATTCATTACCCTATACTTAGCGTGCTCCTCATTTCTACTTAAAATCGTATTGTTATAAGAAGAAAATACCGACGACAGGATGAGCGCTCATCTTGTCATCTGTATTTCCCTTCTTCACGCTAAGACAGAGCTGCACAAGAACCAAACGATTCATCATTTGCCAACTCCTCCAATCTACACTACTTATTTCAAGTCCAGCACACTGTATTAAACGTGGATATTTGCAATGAACGACTCAAGCAAGAAAGGGCGTTTGTGTCGTTTTCCATGGAACTAACGTAGCGTGAAGGTCACCTTAGACTTGAATCAACATGCTATGCAACATGCGGCTCGAGTCACCGTGCTTACGGGTGTCAAAGAACAGTGAGGTGAAGAGACCGATGATGATGTACGCCGTGTTGAAGATCAGCATGGCCGTGAAGACCAGCGTTGGGTTCGTACGGAAGATGAAGGCCAATCCGTAAGGACCGTTGACTTGGCTCATCATGGCCAGCACCAGCACGCTGCTCAGTGTCCACGTCGCCATGGCGCACAGAAATTGCACCAGCCAGAACCAAGTTCGCGGAACGCCCATCAGCTTCGTGAACAGCTGCGCAATTAAGAATGCAGTTTGGTGCGCGCCTTTACACAAACCTTTCCTGTAGTGTCTGTGGGACGATGTCATGACGTTAGAATTTTTCGCGTTCTGTTTAGCACTGTGTTCTTTGTGATCTGTCAGCTTGCCTCTCTCGGCGGACAATCTACAAGCTGGACGAGAAAGCAATGACTGAAAATATTAAGAGCGCCAATGTAAATAAGTAGTGTTGCCGTGGCCATTGAGACATATGAACCCACGTGTACTAGAAAATTATGTACGCAAGTATGTTTTTTTTTAAAATGTGTGCTACTGCTGCTTGTTTTGCAGAGATGGCTGCGGGCCTCTGTTAGATTGTTTGTTTTTTGAGTGCCTTTTAACCTCTTCCTACTTTGATGGAAATGGGGAAGGTTAACTTATTTTTCTTCGGCAGCAAAAAAGCTCACTTAACCAGGAAGCTGCGTCATGCTGGTGAGAATCATATGGGGCAATTATGTGTACAAAACAGTCTTTCATACACGAGCCGAGCGGCAACTAAACATTCATCGTAGATGCTCGTGCTCCTTGTAGCCCGTAGTAACTTCAGTAGACAGCTTTGTAGCTGGCCACATATTGCCCTAACCTTCCTGCAGCCACCATGCCCTGTTGTGTATATTTCAGCCGCACTATAAAACACGACACTCGCCTGCATGCCACTCTGTCGCTCTTCAATGGCGCGTGTAATGACAAGGCAGAAGGGCAGAGCGTACGCCACACCAAAGCGGACCCCCATGAGGAACATGGTGTTGTCGGGGTCCTCATGGTAAGTCGGGAACGGGAACTGGCGCAGCTTGACCGTCAGCTCCTCGTGCGTGTGGTTGACCGAGCGGCGACGCTCAAGCGCGTGAATGTGGGCCAAGTCCACGGCCGTTTGCACAGCCGCCACACGAAGCGACATGGCTGTGCGCAGAGACGTGAAGCCTATAACCACTGAAAGGATCTTTTTACGTTACGCACTGCTGCGCAATAAGCAAGATATCTTTAGTGAAATATCAATAGCAGCCGTAACTATCTCATTACGTTCAAAAGATTTCGTGGACCAGAAAGAAAATGGTCCGTTCGGGTGAAGCACACCCTCCAAAATGTCGTGTCACCTCCTCCACCTGTCTGCCGCTTGTTCGAAACGCCGCTATATAACCTTCCGCCTGTTCAACCCTGGCGATAATTGTGCCCAGCTCGGTTGTACAGGGCACCCCTTTTAACTCTAGCCAAAGTTTCAAATGCGCTGGCGCTCTTTATGACTACATGGAGAAATTGATGTTGATGAGGAGTACATAAAGTAAGTCACACCATCTTTGCTTGGGCGTAATTGTTTGATTATGCAATAGTAACTAACTAGCATTTGATATAACACATCTGGATATGAATTCCACAGAGAAACCTATAAATTGATGGGTTCGCAAGACGTCCAAATACCACGTTTTAACTTTCTACCCAGAATTGTGCATTGTGCTTACTACAGAATCGCGCAAATTTATCCCTAACAAGTAACAATGAGAGGTACGAAGCCAGTGAAATGAATGATAGAAAAAAATGAAAGGAGTTGTAATTTCCGAAGTTTGTTCAGCAAAATTATGCGGCCATTGGACTGACTATGACATGCTCTTCTAGTTTGTTTTTTTTCTTTGCAGTCTCAGCAATCATGTGAATGATCACAGTTACCAGTGTGTGCAAGAGAAGAGGTCACAGCTGGGGCGGCGCAATTGTTGCGGTGCGCAATGTGTCATCACCTGATTGCCGAGAAAGAGTGAGGGAGAGGGGGCATGAAAGGACGGATGCGAGTATGAGACACTAAACGCTTTCGCCTTAATAGGGTTAGCCGATACGCTATATTAGATATTACCACGAGAAAATGGACTCTGAGAAGCCACGTAATCAGAAGTACAGACAACAAACGGTCTTTCACAGCACAGATACCAAGAGTTAGTAATTCTGAGTATTATAGTAAGAAGAAAGTAGAACGAGAAGAAATGGGGAAAAAGTACCCGGTAACTGCCTCTGTAAGGAACCAACCAAAATACTCATGGGTGGTGGAGAATGAAGGAAACAGGAAAAGAGAGAAGAGGATGCGGGAAAGGTGGTGCAGAAAAAAAAAATTGGCCCCGTATCTGCATGTTTCTGCAAATGTCGTCGAAAGACGATAGTCTTGCGTGGTGAGAGAGTGAACAAAACGTTTATTTGATGTTCTGCGCAAGAAAATCGGTGAGTGGTATTCTGGAGGCGCTGCGTTAGAGTGCCTCGAGCGTGCAGCGGAGGCGAGCGAGCGCATCAAGTCACGTCATGGATGGATGGATGGATAGATGTGGCTGTACCCTTTAGATCGGGCGGCGGCTAACGCCACCTAGCCGTAATACTTAGTGAACTAACCATTACATTTATCTTTTTTTTCCTTTAAATAATGAAGTTGAGGATTCGTACTTCGCAGTGAAGGGTTTAATTTTCACTCGTGCCTTGACTTTAGCCACCAATCAGATAACCTCCTTCTAGTTAATTCTACCCGCTTGAAGTCTATTTTGCCCTCGCTGTCCCTAAATCCCAGTGTTTTGAAAAACTCTGCGCCATCATCCTGAACTATAGGGTGAAGCCCTTTACAGAACATTATCAAGTGTTCGGCAGTTTCTTCTTCGTCTCCACACGCACTGCATACTGTGTCTACCCCTTCGTATTTGGCCCGATATGTCTTGGTTCGCAGCACTCCCGTCCTGGCCTCAAACAGTAGAGAACTACCTAGAGTATTATCATAGATCCTTTCCTTGGCAATCTCCTGCTTAAAAGTTCGATAGATCTCTAGTGCGGACTTCTTAATCATGCCCATTCTCCACATGTCAGTCTCCGTTTCCTTCACTTTCTTCTTAACCGATAGTTCTTTTTGGTTTGGCCACCTGCTGTTTTCTAAGTATTTACCAGCCAACTTCCTGGTTCGCTTCCTCCATTTTGTATCGACATTCTTCATGTAAAAGTAGCTGAAAACTTTCCTAGCCCAACGCTCTTCCCCCATTTCTCTCAATCGCTTCTCAAATTTTATCTTGCTGCTAGCTTCCCTGCCCTCAAATGATGTTCATCCCATATCACCTTGTACTCCCTGATTTTGTGTATTTCCATGAGCTCCTAAAGCAAGCCTAACTATTCCACGTTGCTTAATTTCTAATTTTGCTTGAACTTCTGATCTCATGCACAAGACCACATTGCCGAACGTCAGCCCAGGAACCATGACCCCTTTCCATATTCCTCTCACAACATCATACCTATTGTAATTCCACAGTGCCCTATTTTTCATGACTGCTGCATTCCTGTTACCTTTAGTCGTCACGTATATTTCGTGTTCCCTCAGATACTCGGTCCCATTGCTTATCCATACGCCCAGATATTTGTATTTATCTGTTATCTCTAGCGTGACCTTCTGTATTCTAAGCTCACTACCTTCGTTGTCATTGAAAATTATGACTGCTGATTTTCCTTACTGAAACTAAAATCTAACCTATCTCCCTCATTACCGCAGATGTCCATCAATCTCTTCAAATCTTCCATGTTGTTAGCCATTAGCACTATATCATCTGCGTACATTAATGCTGGTAGTGCCTGATCAGTAAGTTTTCCTTGTTTGACTAAAGAGAGGTTGAAGCCCAGTCCACTTCCCTCTAATTTTGCCTCTAATCCTTGTAGGTACATCATGAATAATAAGGGTGACAGGGGGCACCCCTGCCTAAGCCCCCGTTTTACCTCTGCAGGCTTGGATACCTGTTTTTCCCACTTTATAACTACCTTGTTACCTTTATAGATACCCTTAGAAGATTAGTGACTACATGTTCCACGCCTAGTGTGTCCAGTATTCCCCACAATTCCTCTTGAACCACGCTATCGTACGCTCCCTTGATATCCAAAAATGCTAGCCACAGGGGCCTGTGTTCCTTTTCTGCTATTTCGATGCACTGCGTCAGTGAGAACAGATTGTCTTCCAACCTCCTGTGTTTCCGAAACCCATTCTGCAGTTCCCCCCGCACCCCCTCATCCTCTATCCACGACTGCAGTCTTTCCTTTATAATCTGCATCGCCAGCCTGTAGACCACTGATGTCACTGTTATAGGACGGTAGTTGTTTATGTCAGCTTTGTCCCCCTTTCCTTTATAGATGATGCTCATCCTGCTAAGTTTCCATCCATCGGGAACTTCACCATCGATTATTATTTTGCTCACTGCCTCTCTCAAAGCCTGCTTAGACTTCGGACCTAATGTCTTTATCAGCCTAATTGAAATGCCATCTGGGCCTGTTGATGTACTACTAGGAACCCTTTTATCAGCCCTTTCCCACTCTTGTTGTGAAAATGGAGCCATTGCACCACTTGATTCGTCCTTGTCTATTGTGGTGCATAAAGTACTTCTTTGTTGAAATTTTTCTGTCACCCTTGTTCTTATATATTAAATAGCTTCGTCCCCTTCTAGCCTAGCACCTTGGGCTGTAGTTATAAAACTCTGCTCTAGGCTCGTCTTATTTCTTAGGGAGTTTAGATGGTTCCAAAATTTCGCAGCTGCCTTTCTATCTTTTTTATGTACTTCTGCCAGCCACTGAGCTCCCTTCCTTCTAATCTTTTCATTGATCAGAAGGGATGCATCCCTTCTACAGCTTAGAAAGGTTGCCCATTTTCTTTCAACATCATCTGTCGGTTCACCCCGCTGCTTAGCATGTCTGTGTTCCCTAGAGGCTTCCTGGCGTTTTGCTATGGCTCTCTTAACTTCCTCATCCCACCAACTTTTGGGTTTGTGTCTTCTTTTCGGGGTGCCTTGCCACGCGTCTTAGCAAGCTCTAGCTTAAAGAATCTAATTAGATTCGTGTATGTCCACACTGTCTTATTATCCTCCGTGATTACTTTCTCAATTTGTTTAGTGGCCATTTCAATTTGCCTTTCTGGGTGAAAATTTTCCTTTAGTTACTCATCTTGTCTCCTTCCCACTTTCACTGCTCTTCCAAAACTTAGCTCGATACGTTTGTGATCGCCACCCAGACTTCTGGAGCCACCTTCATCTATGTGCATTCCCCTGAGCTTATCATACATCCTATGTGACATCAGTGCATAATCTATTGTCGACTGAAGCCTTCCTACCTCCCATGTTATTTGCCCTTCACACTTCTCGGTACTGTTGCAAACGATCAAATCAAGCCTTTCACACATATTCATGATCATTTTGCCTGTCGGGTTGGTATACCCATCTATATCTTCTATGTGCGCATTCATGTCTCCTAGTATAATTATCTCGCACTCTCTTCCTAACTCCTGAATGTCCTTTGATATACACTCTACCATTGCCTGGTTTTCCTCTCTGGCCTTTGCTCCCGTCCACAAGTACACGAAACCAAGGAGTGTCATTTGACCTGTCACTTTCCCTTTTAGCCATAAATGTTCCTTGCACTCCTGCTTGACCCTTTGCCACTCTGTAGTTTTATTAATGAATGCCCCAATACCACCCCCCTTTCTGCTGCCTTCTGTTCTATTACAATATTCCCACGCGTAGTCCGGATTGTTCGGAGGTTGTTCCATGTCCCTGAGATGTGTTTCTACAAAACCGTATACCATCGGCCTCTCTTCCCTTAGCTGTTCTTCTATCCCTTCCCACTTCAGCCTGTTCCTACCACCCTGCATGTTGATATACCCTATGTCTGAATTGGCTCGGCGCTCGTGGCTACGTCTATTTATGCCCCGGACTCTACCTATCTTAGATATTGGTGCCACTTTGGAATCGTATCTGTCCATACAACCTGTCGAAGAGTCTCCCTGGTTGTTTTCACGTTACTGGCTATCCTGCACCCCGAAGGGCTCGCTTGCCCCCCAAAAAAGCTACTGCGCGTCCTGCAAGGTGCCACCCACCTCATGACCTAGCCGCCCATCGAAGTGAATTCTGTCTCGTTGAAAACCCCCCCCCACCTATGCACCTCTCTGTTTATTTCCATCACCTCAAAGCCTTTCTCTCGACTCATCCGCCATATCTCTTGGTTTGCGTTGACCACTGCTCTTTGCAGGTTGCTATCACGCACACGTGAGTTATGAGCGCCATCTGGCACTTTTCTTGGAAAACAAAGCGCGTGGCTCTGAGACGGGTGTGTGCGCCCATCTCAGAGGCGATAAGGTGTAGAACGCGAGGTGACGGGTAGGCGCCAACACGATCTCGTATTAGCAAAGCGATACTCCTCGTTCCGCGCATGCGTTGCATGGCAAGCGCAGCGTGATAAGCGCTACCGTCCTTAAAATATTAGAAAAATCCTATTATTAAAATCATAATCAGTCCTTAAAATATTTATGTATGCGTTTTCTAGGAAGATATGCATATGCAGAATATATGCGTGTTGTTATGGTGCCCCAGACATGCGCAATAATTTCTCTTTAATTTACAATTGCACAAGCATGGACACTCAACCTTGAGCAACATTGGTGGTCGCTGCGGATGGGGTCAGCTGTTTCAAGTACCCGATGCCGTTAAGAATGGGCAAACAGACAAATGTACAGACAGACAGACAGACAGACAGACAGACAGACAGACAGACAGACAGACAGGCAGGCAGGCAGGCAGGCAGGCAGGCAGGCAGGCAGGCAGGCAGGCAGGCAGGCAGGCAGGCAGGCAGGCAGGCAGACAGACCAAAATTTTTTCGTCGTATCGTTTTTAAAATAGATGCTCCTCTCCTGCGCAGAGACGTGTCTGCACTTTACCTTGTCGAGCGGCTCAGACAACCCGCTCGATTGGGTTTGAGTCTACCAGGAAAGACGTGAGGGCCGTAAGAGGGGCACGGTGGTGATCCTCGCAGCCGGTGGTGAACAGGAACTACTGTAGGGGCACACAGGACTGGACCCAATTCTGAGCCGTTTCCCAGCTGGGCACTCACAGATAATACGCCTTATATGAATATGTGAAACTGTTTCCAGCGCACTGCAATCAACGCAATTCGGTGTAGCTGCGCCATGTAGACGAGGTTTACGTTCAGCAGCCCACGTCGAACCAGTTCTCAGGGTGCTTGCGGCGGGTTAAATTAGTCGCAGAAAAGGGAGGCGGGGTGTCGACGTTGGGGCGTGAGGAGGAGCGACTAAATGAGTTTGGCTGCACAGCATGAAATTAGCCAGCGGAGAATAGTGTGGATTTGAGATCAATGTCAGTGACAATCATCTTGTATATAGGCCCTATACAAAAGTGATAATATTCACGATGTCGATAATAAGGAAGAAATGAAGAAACACAATTTTTTCAGTTGTCGTTTAAAAGTAAAAGCGAGCATGTAACGTTCTGATAAAGGGAGAAAGGTAACATCCACGAAAAGCGAGCAAAAGTGTGGAAGAGATACGCAGGTGGCGATGCCACATTAAGTTCCCTCAACAGCGGACTGTGAATTGATGGATTTTGATGATCTCACAGAAGCGGGTTCACTGAAAGTGAAGCTTTGAGCGTTATTTTCACTTACTACTGCAATTGAGGACCACAGAGTTTGATAGAATAAACTTCTCCATCAAAAATGATTCACTGGTTTACTTCAATGTTTCATTAACAACTTCACAGAATAGTTAGCAGAATTATTTTGTAGGCGTCGATCTTCACCGTAATAAACAGCGCGGAAAAAAGAGAAGAATACGAACAAACTCCTGGCTAACTACTATGATGCAGCGCCCATGTTTGTCACTCTTTGTAGTCCCAATTTTTCGCTCTGGTTATTTCGTTTAAGATAAAGCAACCTCTTTCAGACTTGGCAAACGTGTTAGGCAGACTCACTGTCTTCGAGCTGTGAGGGTCCATTCTCCCGGACCTCCTTGCGTGCTTTGGTGATCTCGTACACGCCACTCGAGAACATGATAGTGTACGTAAGGTCGTGGGGAATGTCGTCGCCCAGCGATTCCGTGTGGAAGTACAGACCGACCGTGTTGGGCGTCACGTTCTTGGAGAAGAGCAGCTGCGCCATTTCCACCTCGTCCGCCATCGTCTTAATCGCTGAAAGTTGTTCGCATCCACACGGATAAACTATGAAGTAGAGCAAGTGCAGTTTGATGCCCTCATAGTCAGATTTTGCATAAAGCGCTTGATATATTCAGAAAACCAGACACTTCTCTTCTGGTTTCCTACATACAGTGACACTTAATCAGGACATGATTTAGAATAAGCGTAACACTTAAAAGAGTCGCGCTTGGGAGTGCTTTGAAACCTTCGCAGTTGAACATGTAAAACATGTAAGTTTTGTTTTGAACAAAACAATAATGACACGAATTAGTTCACATTCTGGTTCGAAGAATGTAATCAGAAGTTGCCATGAAACGCAAAGCATTCGACGAGTGTTCTTTGTCGAAACATCGCTCGCTTTCTGAGCGGTGTCCTTGTGCGCCAGGTTTTTGATACTCGAAAATCAGTTGGGAAGGAGGTGTTCACCGGTTCCTGTAGCAGACCGTGATGAGTTTCAATAACTAACAATAATAACTAAAAAGAAATAGGGCCAAATTTATTTACACCAATGGCTTTACGGGCAACTCGTGTGGTTAGAAACTGACCAGTTGCTGTTCGTTTCGAGCAGATTTCATTGTTTATCCGGAGAAATTGGGAGCACATTGCCACTCGGATTGATGGGAATTGTTTAGGGCAGCATAAGCTGCCCTTGTCTGATGAAGACTGTTCCGGAAACCAAACATTTACGAGTTTTACTCATAACAACGAAGAACTGCTAGCGCCTGCTATGTTTCACTATGTTAATTGGAGTAAATAAAATGCAGCCAAGAAGCCAGAAGGAGTGGTGGTAAGTGCACTGGCTTAGCGTTACTCAAACATGATGACAAATTGGCAAAAAGAAAAAGACGGAACATATCAGTGCATACAATAGACAGCTCCAATGGTAATCAATTTGTTGAACAAAAGTGTATATGTTACTCAAACTACAATATGTATCACTACATATAACGGGGATCTCAAAAAAAGTAATGAAAAAGTTGTGCTAAAGTAAGCCTGTCATTCGAAACGTCATATCATTTGCCATGGTACTCAATAGCTTCTATGGCCTATCACATTATGCAACCAAATACGTTGTAGTTACACACAACACTGCGATTTCGCCATAAAGCGAGCGGAGTAGCAAAGCATTGGCCAACTCACCAACCCCAGGCAGCCTGCTGTGGACTGTGTCAATGATGCGGCGCGAGTAGTTGTTTACGGGTCCATAGAAGACAGTGTCTAGCCTGAGATCTGTCAAGTCTGGCGTGTACACGGGGTATATGATGCTGCTGACAACGGCATCGTTACCGCCAATGCCTCGCTCGTTCTGGATCTTGATGAACGGCACGGCCGCCATGAGAATCTCGACCACGAAGGCGACCGGACGCACTCGCAGGCGTCGAAGGTACATGTTCTTCCAGACCAACACGGAGAACTGCAGAACGCTCTCCATTCTGCTCCTGTTCAAGCGTGGTCCGAAGGATGCAAAGCTGCTTCGCTGCACTCACGTGCTTGATCGTCCACCGTCACAGAACCTGTGCAGACAAAGCTGCTCTTCGACGACGTCTTTGGGACCACAGGACAGCATATTTCAATTCAGTAATTATTGTACAGAGTTGCTACAGTTGCAAGTTTACCACAGCGAGAACACAGCATTGTTTCCTTTGTTACGGTTATTTGCAGTACTATAACAGCAGCCCTCTCTTGCCGTCTCCTTGGTGTAGCTGTAATATTGTAGCATCGAAAAAAGAAAGCGGGCAGCTATATTTGCTGGGTGAATGTCAGGTTGCATAATTCTATTTGAATAGTTCTTACACCGTCACTTCGCACACAACCTCCACCTTAGTTTTAAATGAAGAAGTTTCGTAAAGTTTAAAAAAGAACATCACGTGGAAATTTGTTGCACTTTTTTCCTAAATATCTAATCGAGTGTCTTGTCGGAGCCTTCAAATTCATTTAGGATGAATGAACAAAGGGATAATAATTGCGATAGGTGAGCATATAATGCAGCTGCTGTTTCACTAAGTCACAAAAGTTTACTCCCGTGTGCAGCCACGGCTGGCATGCGCTCGCAGGCAACTTGTTGGAGAACCCTGCTATACATCGTTCTTTTGTTAAGTGTTGCGGTGCAGTATTGTGTTGGTAATCTATCTCCGAATATGCTAAAACAAACGTTCTGAAGTTACTTTAAAATATCAGAAATGATGACGTCACATTGATCGTAGTATTACCGTGCACAATCAGATCTTTCTCGTCGGCCAGCGTATTTTTCACAGGGTTGAACACTCACGCCCCCAGATGGTAAATACATCAGAACTTCATGAATAATATACTGTACTTTCGGAATGACAGGAATAAGCTGACTAAACACGAGGTAGAGCAGGAAGGATGCCCTACTGATGCCATACGATGGGGAACTTCGTGTAATGGGTGCAATACAAAACAGGAGCGGAAATTACGACTGCACGGAAGTGATAATCGCTGGGATTAAGCAGGGCAATAATGGCCTCTTTTACGTCATCTCATGCTGACTACATTTAGTATTCTAGTGATCCTACACGCACTTGTAGACGCCATAAAGTACCAGTAATAACCAGATTCATGGCCATGTAGCACAACACAAGGATTACCATGGATTCAGTGAGCTACAATGGGTTGAAACATACATCGAATATACACCATGCACCAAATCAGGGTGCAACATATTGAAATGAGCATGCCGCACAAATCTCGCTAGAATACGGTGCCTTCGCTGGTGGGACAGCGTGCCTGCTACAAATTAGAAATGAATTGTAGGGCTTCTCACCACGTGCTCGCGTAATATATTGTGACGTTTGCGTGGCCTCTATAGGCCCCATAATCCTGTCCGCGGTGCACAAGTGGCCATTTAGAATTGTTTTGAGGACGTAGAAGCCCACATTTTTAAAGTTTTGGCACCTCACGTCTTCACAACGTGACTTCTGCGTGAAGTCACCAGTATTAGCACTGTAACTTGACGTTACGCTAGTGTCGACGTCGGTAGGTGCGCCATGGGAAAATTGACTTTGATGTGAAAATGAAGTATCTTAACAGCGTTTCCTTCACTTCACACTTGCTTTAAGCCATCTCTGCATACAGAATACTTGAATTGGACGAGTAAATGAACTTTGGAAAAATGGTGTCAATACACTTTAGGTACTAAAAAAAAAACGCAAGATTACAGCTCGACTTCATGTTGGGGTGAGTGCGATGAACTATCGCGCATCGGTTCACTTTCTCAACAAGCGTCATCATTCCTTGTACGGCTTTCGTTCAACAAGTGCTTCTTTCAAAAATTGTGAGAGTTGTCAATTTCTTTGCACAATCTCTAAGAACGACTTTGCTCACTCTTCCAAAGCATTACTACCCAATGCTACCACTTCCGACGTTACAAAAGGCCCACTAATGAAACAGAGCGAGCGTGCCAACGTGTTTTAATGCTTCCTTTCGCAACACAACGCGTTATGTCTTGCAGGAGGCCTGGTGGGAGACTGTAAAACCAAATGCGTCAGCAAGTGCAAAGCAGCCCTGTCAGCCTTTGAATGCCGAGTGCAACGTGCTGCGAGACGTTTTATCGGCGGAGCTATTTAAAGTGGCAGTAGGGAGAAATAAATCAGTAAATTATCATTTCACCTTTTGAAAATCAACAGGGCTGCCCTCGAGAAGATCTTGAGAAGCACGAAAATGCGTAAGAAAACCGAGTGGTGATGCCACCTTCAAGTGCCCGGACTAAACATCGAGATGTAATTAATTATAAATGCCCCTACTAGATCCCTACGGTTATGCCAATGTGTAAAAACGAAGCACTTTATTGTATGAGAAGGTCGTAGAATAAACATAGCGTCAGAAAATTGGCTTTGTTGTGGATACAAGCTTTGCACCACTATTGCAAACTACGCAAACTTTTTTAAAAACCTCGCTTGCCCTTAGTAGGGAGCGTGGAGGAGTAAACAGACAAATAAAACTGAAAAACAAAAGAAGTTTTTTGCAAATAATTAGCTTTTTATTCGAGCACTCTTCCCCATCTTTCATCCACTTCCTTCAATTTTTTAAGCACGGAAGTGTTTCACGTTGGGGCCAACTAAGACTTTACTGACATTCTCATCACGAAAGTATATTGACAGTGAAAATCAAAATCAAATGATTTGGGGAATCGGATGACCTGGAAGTCAAACGCACGCCACCTCGCTGCGAGGATAGCAACCAGGCACTTTAGCCATTGCGCTATCGACGCGCTTGACAGTGACCAAAGAGGTTTAAAAAATAATTGCTGGAGTGGAAGCTCTCGCAATGCTTCGCCAGCAGTAGTGAAGCCAGGTTTTGCCCTCCATAAATGTCAGAAACATGCTATTTTTTGGTTTTGCCCACTTAGGCATCAAGTGGCTGTGATTTGTTAGTATAAAGGCTACGGTAACTATAAGTTAACAGATAGTTGTTTCCGAATAAATGATCCGCAGAGGCTATAGCATCGGTGACTTATTCTAAAATAAAGTTCGCCTAGAAATCGAGGCTTACTAAAGAAAACCAGTAACACACGGAAGTATTTTAAGCACTACCTGACCAGAAAAGGTTCCCACTTTAAACTCGTTGGTCGTGCGAGGAAAGCGCTCCTTCTCAGTCACCGAACGCTGACAGCTCATCATGTCCCTAGTACGATGGCTGCCGCAGCCACCATCTTATGGTTGGCACGGCTTCACTCGTGGGCAAGAATTTTTTACACCAGCAATTTTTTTCAGCCTCCTTGATAGCGACCTTAATTTGCGCGAGGCGGTGCCGTCACCTGGTGTCAGTGAATTGAAGTATTGCGTTTTAACGCTAACGAGCGCTGATAGCGAGTGCTTTTGTAGTTACAGCTCTCTATGCAGCGAGACAAGCTAACGACTTCCCCCGTTCACGGCTTAATCTACAAACTATGTGTCTCGATTTTTTTTTTTCGAAAGGGTTGTGTGGTCTACGCATGAGCACTGGAACTCGTTGCCCGTTCACTAAGCGGAGTGCACAGCTGGGCGTTCCGCTTCTGAAATGATGACAAATTTATTGAGTGCGTAATCAGTACAGACGTTATGAACTTGTTCATGCCATCATTGCCCTGGGTTCAGTGCATAATTTGACCAGGTGTACGCCAACTACTTCAGTTACCACAGCAATTAAATCTTCAACTTTGGCGTAAATAATCCAGATCAAAAGGTATCATTAGGTGTCAGTGCTGGTGCGTCCACGTCAAACCGCCACCAAACGCCAATATAGCTTATGTAAGCTCTCATACCCCAATGTAGTACAATAAGCAGTAAACTACGTTCTTATGGAGACACGGCTCGGTTTCGTGTTAAGCCTATTGCTATGAAGGAGGAATCAACCACGTTTTTCTCCGCTTACTTTTTACTGTTGGCTTTCTGTGCCTATAGCGATATCTACCAACTCGTCCTACACGCTAGCCCTTACAACTCGCTGGCGCTGGTCATTTCAAACAAGCATTATGGTCGCACAGCTCGCGTAGTGCTTCTGAACCTAAAACTATGTCAACTACAGTGCGTCGGGCTTAAAATAACAGTAATAGAATTGGAAGCGGACTCACTCACAGTGAAGCTGTAGCTGCAAGAAGACACCTTGGTACTTCGAAACGACGGGCCAAATGTCTTGCATGTGCACGAGCATCGGAAATGCGCGTGTTCTTGTTATTCTTCTTCTTCTTACTTCTCCTCTCATGGGTAATATCATACACATGTTCTGGTTCACGTATTAACTGTGGCGCATACCCAGTGTGCTAGATTTGCCAAGAATTGAGCGGTTTTATAAAAAATAGTATGAAGTTTCAGAGTAGTAGAGCTTCTACAATGCAAAGATAACAGATCACACAGAAAGTAATGACGCTCGATCTAATGCATACATCCATTAAAACAAACTTTTTTTATGAAATTCGATCAATTATTTCCTTTACTTTTTGCGCACGTGAACGTTCAATGCTTCTTTTTCAGCACGACAGGAAAATGCTACGTGCGAGGATGATGGTGATACCCTCACAGGGATGATGTTTACCCACAAGGGGTTTAGACCAAAAACCGGGCGACAGGATCTTTACGTTTAAAGCCTGTAAAGCTAAAAAGCTTCCACAAGCTTTACACTAAAAAAACATAGCTAGTAAATTAAACTTGTACAAAAAGAAACAATCTCAGATGGGATGTTTGACAAATATGATGATGATGATGATGTTTGATGTTTTGTGGCGCAAGAGCCATTTCACGGCCAAAGAGCGCCAGTTAATCTTACTAAAAATATGGACAATGATTGTGATAAACGGCTGTATAAGGGCCATAAAATTCCTCGCGGTAAGGTGGGTAAAAACATACAAGTAATAAAATCATGACCATGCCGTGAAAGGTGTGTGTGGTGAGAATAGATGACAAAAGTTGGTGGTTATAAAAAAAAGATGGTGGA